CAGGCTTCTGTCATTCTAGATCTAACAAGAAAGAGTCACTCCTGGAAGTCCAGATTTAGTGCTGTGAAAATGCAAATCCCAGTGTGCACGCATGTGTACATCCACACAGTGAGCTCTCACTCCTACTGAGAGCCTTTATGTGACACAAAAACAGGTTCATTTTACAGTTGGAAAGTACAGGGGGAGGCTGAGCATGGTGAGGCATGCCTGTAACTCCCACACTTGGGAGGCTGAGGCAGGAGATTTACTGCAAGTTTGAGGACAATCTGGGCTACATAGTGAGCTCAAGGACAGCCTGAACTACATAGAGACACCCTGCCTTGAAAGAAAGAAAGAAAGAAAGAAAGAAAGAAAGAAAGAAAGAAAGAAAGAGAGAAAGAAAGAAGAAACAAAGACAGAAGAGAACAAGGTTAAGGCAGACTTCCTATCTAAGACTAGAGGGATGCAGCATACAAAAAGACGACTCCATAATCCCACAGTGTTTAACAATATGAAGTATGAAAATGAAACAGTGAATGCCTAAAAATTATGTGCAAGATACAAAGCCCCTAAAAATAGCCTCCTTCACTTCAAACGCATTTGTCCCATGGCTCCTGCCGCTTTCTGAAGCAGTGTGTGTCTTATTGTGGCTGTCTTACGGTCCTGAAATTGACTTAAAATGTTTATAGCAATTTTTGTCAGATTTCTGACTCTTTTCTAAAATCAAAATTCCCATGAAAGATCAAGGTTCTCAAAATACAAAGGACAATGAGGCAGTGGAAAGTGAAACTTAGAAGACACTCATTACAGAACTTTCTGAAAACTGCTTCAGAAAGTGGCAAAGATGATAGAGTGTGCTGGAAGTCAAAGGAAACATTTCCAGGGGGATCAATGGCCACATCTCACTGTGCTAAGTTTTTAAATTTAAAAGTCATACTTTGCTAGCATATCTCATACATTTTGGGTTACAGCTCAGTCTGAAGTACAAAATGTATAGGCTCCCTTTCATATGCATTGAGAAGGTTAAGTTTGGAAATGAAACTATTCTTTGTAACAACGTTCCTAGTACACTGTCTCAAAACAACCTACAAAGTTTTGGTGTTCTACTCACTGGTTCCTTGAAGACCATTTGCAATACTGCTCTGGCTACGTGACCAAACTGGACATGCTTCTGATTAGGGTATGCAAAGGGGGTCAGTAACCTAACAGGCTGACTTTCTGCTTCAACTCTTTTGTCCAGATTGTGGTTTCTACATTCAGGTTTCAATTTAAAGCCTCCACCTCTTTATCTAGCTGGCTGACTCAGGTCTGGGGCAGGAAATTTAGAACAGCAGAACAAATGAGACCAAAAAGTGAAGACTATCAGTAATGAGGACGGTGGCTCAAGCATAAAGAACATAGTGTGAAGGGGCTTCTACTGTCCTCTGAGGGAAGATTTCACCATCAAAAAGAATGGATATTGCAAAGGATTGAAACACATGAGAAAATTTTAAACTGTGAATCCATGATACTAAAAACAAAGACCTCTTTAGAATGAAAGGAAACTATCTCAAAAGTTTTAAAACTTGCCTTTTATATTTGAAATGTACAGTAGTATTTCAGGTTAACTGAATAGCTGAGGATTAGATTCTTTTCATTATACACCTGTAGGTAATGAAGGAATGGCACAATTATAAGTATACCACTTTACAGCCCACAGTGAAACAGAACATTTAGGTAATGATTATCGAAGCCTACTGAAACTACTGGGCTGAAACAGGGTTTGTGATTGGTGGTCAGGCTGGCAACACCGGAAACAACCTGCCATTCCACGTCTCTGATACATGATGCAGTAGAAAGCATTATTCAGACACTTTCCAGATTAAACTAACAGACACCTGTTCAAGTCTCTAGATCCTAAATACCAGATTACAGGAAACTTGTGGGAGAGAGAAGGATGTTAAAAGACACTAAGGGATTGCAAAAAGTGAAATCTTTTATTGTGAAAAATACTACATCACCTTTCCTAAAGGTAGGGAAAATTCAAAACAGAAGCCAGCAGTTAGGATTTAGCTCAGCTTGCCTGGCGTGAGTTTAGTCCCTGGTACTACAACAACAAAATCAACCAACCAACCAAACTAGGAAGAGAACTGTTAAAAAGATAAATTTATCAACACTCATCAATCAAATATACACGTGTGGCCCCTGCTGAATCCTGACTGAAATGAACCAGTCATTTTCATTAAGGCACACATGAGGCAACTGAGGATATTTGAAGTGAAAAGGTATTTGAAATCACAGAATACTGGTGGAATTTAAAAAAGCTGCAATCACATCCGAAATAGTGAGTGACATCCGAAGCAGAGCCCTGATCTTACAGGAATAAATGCTCATTTACAGACAAAATACTATGTTCTCAGTTTGCTTTAAATTAATTCAGAAATGAGGTAAGAAAGGAAAAAATTATAAACACAGAGGATGAATATGAAATAAGGGATTGATTTTTAAAAAAAAAAAATGTTTTATCTGACCTTTAAAGAGGCTAACTTGCTGGATGTAATGACACATTCCTGTAATCCCAGCATTCTCAGTCTGAGCAATTTTGTGACACCATGTCTCAAAAAATAAAAAGGGGGCTGAGGACAGGTTCAGTGTGAAGGCCCTGGATTAAATCGTCACTATTGTTTATCTCCCCCCAAAGGCTAACTTCCACTAATTATATTTGAATACAGGAGGAGCTCATTTTTCCAATCTACGCCTTCACCAGAAAAATCAGGCAAATGTGTAATATGTACGTCCCGGTGGTATTTTGAAGATCAAATGAGACAATTCTTACCAAACAGTCAATGCATATCGAACATATGGTACCAAAAATAACCAATAAACAGTAGCTCCTCCTGGCACACACTTACTAGCACACACTTGTAATCCCAGCGACACAGGAGGGTGGTGCAAGAGGATCACAAGGGCAGCCTGTACAATGTAGCAAGACCTTTTTTCAAAACAACAAAAAACCAAACTGAAGATGTAGCTTAGTGGTAGAGAGTGTTTGCCTAGTACACTGAAGGCCCTCGTTCACTCCCTAGGACCACAAAAAGGAAAAAAAAAAAAAAAGTAGCTCTTATCACACGTTTGAATCTGAGAAACAGATACTGCACCCTTAATCTGGGACTGTGTCTAACGCTGGCGCCCTCACCCCGCAATAAGACACACTGGAAAGGGCACGGATCACCAGGCACACACCAACAAGGAAGTAAGGATGCATTGGTTTGCTGTATTTAATGTTCCGAAGATATAAATTCACAAATCCTTTGGAGAAGGTGCCAGAGTGGCCTTCCCTGCTGAGCTGTTTCAGAAGGCTAATCTAATTCCCAAGCGAGTTAAAATCCTCTCTACTGAGTAAGTGGCTCATTCCAAAATATGTGGCATAGTTCATTTCACAAATTTATCAATAGAGTAATGGTAAAGAAAACCTGGGTTTCAATTCTACTGTCCTGAGATCTCTAAGAGAAGCAGAAGACTTAAAGTGCTTAATTCTGAGACATAATGACCCCCAGACAGAAGGTAACTAAACGAGGCTCGGGGCTGCTTCGGCTGCTCACCCCTGTCCTCCCTCAGGGCGTCGGGCTGGTCCTTTGGTTTGCTCCCACCTGTAACACCAGGCACCTCGCGGGGGCTGCAAAGCGGAGAGGGAGGCGGCTGGGGTCGGGGGGGCCCGGGATGCGGGGGTCCGGGGCCAGGAGGCGCTCGGGATGGGAGGCTGCGTGGGGTGCATCCCGAGGCCGGGCACACAGGAGCTAAGAGTCCAAAAGAAACCTACCAAGGAAGGGGGAGAAACTCGAGGGGAGGAAACCCTGCAGCCGAGAATCTGGGAGAAGCAGAGGAAAAACACACGTCCCAGAGCCAGCAGCTCGGAGCAGCCCACGCCGGAAGGCCGCTGTCTCCAAGAGAACGTGAGTCCAGGCCGCGCCCGTCCCCAACCCGGTCCTCACCAATATGAGGGCTGCGGCCGCCAGCACCGCGCCGAGCCCCGCGAGCTGCAGCAGGAGCGGAGCCATCCTCCACACCCGGCGCCGCCGCCGCCGCCCCCCGCCCTATCCCGCGCCTACACACACGCGGAAGCGCGCCGCGAGGCCCCGCCCCGCGTTGCCAGAGAGGCCGCGCCGGCCGAGCGCCCGCCGCTAACAGCGCCCCCGCGCGGTGCGGGACAAGACGCGCCAGTGTTGGGCGTTCAGTGGGTGGCTGGAGGGGCGGTGTTGGGTGCCAGATCCCGAAAGTAAAATGCAAAACGGCCCCTTAAATCTCGGATTACCAACTATTAATTCTTGACAGTCTTTATTAGTATAATTAGCATACCAGTTTAATTAGCATACCAGTTTGCCAATTTAAAGGGTAAATTTGCTCTACCATAGTAATTTAAAAAAATATTTTTTCCAGTACTGGGTATTGAATTCAAAGCCTTAAAGGAAGATGCATCCCCACCCCTGTTCGGTTTTTAACTTTGAAACAAAGGCTTGAACTTTCAGTCCTCCTGCTTCAGTCACCCAAAATGCTGGGATTTACAGATATGTTAAGCCATCGCATCTACTTTTTTTTTTTTTTTTTTTGGAGACAGGGTTTCATCACGGAGTTCAGGCTGGTCTTGAGCTCACTTTGTAGACCAGACTAGTCTCAAATTTGCAGTGATCTTCCCATCTCAGCCTTCTGGGTGCTGGGATTACAGGTGCGCCCCACTAGGTCTGGCCACATTTACTATTTTCACTGTACGATGCAGAAGCAGTCATTGTATTGACAGTGCTGTGCAAATCATCACACTGATTCTCACACTTTTCCCGGTCCCACCTAACCCGGGTAACAACACGTCCTATTCGGAGCACGCTATTATAAAAATTACTTTGTTTATATGTCATTCATATTTAAACGGGTATCCTGCGTTTGTTCTGGTTGCCAGCGAGAGAGGGAGCACTTGAGTCACCAGTTTACAGCACAGCACCTCCTTTGGAGACAGCTCTGCCATCTGCAATGTACTTGGGAGGCATAATACGAAAAAGTTCACGTGTTTCACGCGCTGGAACGACGAGCCTGTTACCTGGGGAGAGGCGAGCCCCGGGTTCAGTGTACGACGGAGGCGGGGAAAGGACTGAGAAGCATTAGGAGGAGGTTTTGCTATAAACTCGGTTCTCTTCAACTGCTGGTGTTGTGAATTACTGTGTCACCCTTGTTCTAAGCAGGGACACCTCCCTAACAGCTTATTCGTCAAACTGCATCCAAAGTAAAACAAACATAGGGTAGAAGGCGCAACCCGCTAGCGAGGCGAACCGGAAAGAGCATATACTGCTCTCGCCGCCAGTCCAGGTCCCTTCCGCCGCGGGACGCGCGGTTGCATCAAATGTGCGGCGCCACGCTGCCGGTGTGCGCATGCGCGGGGCGCGAGCGGGAAGATGGCGGCAGGGTTCAAGTGAGTGTCTGCGGCCGCGGGTAGCGTGATGTTGCCGTGCGCGTGGCCGCTTCCCTAAACCTTTAGCTGGGAGCTGTTCGCCCGCCGGCTGACTCCACCAGAACCCCACTTCTTCCCCCGCCGAAGCAGGCAACGGGCGGGAGGACGTGGAGGTGGTCAGTTGTAAGAGCAGGTCTTGGTCGCGCGTGGGGTCACAGCGGGAGGCAGAGCCGAATGCGCCCCGCTTGCCCTCCTGCAGTTTATTTCTAAAAGAACTGTGCTTTTTTTCGGACAGATTTTCTTAAAATCTTTGATGCCATTCTGGTGAAGCCTATAGATTCTTAAAGTTTGTAGATTGATAAACCAAGATTCCAAAGTTAAAACAGGCTGAAACAGTGATCTTTCTATATACATAAACCCAGAATTCCTATGTGTATGTATCAACTTGTTTTAAAACTTTCTTAACAAAGTCTAATGGCGAATCTATTAATTATTGGAACTTCAAAGTAACGATGAGCTGCTTCTACCTTCCCACAATATAAAAACGAGCACATTTCTAATTATGATCTCTAGTTAAGGTTGTGGGTACTGCTAACTATGTTGCCTGCAGTCATAAGACAAGATTATGATAAACTGCAGTGAAAACAACAGATATTAGCTTTTTTTCATGATCACTAGGTTAAAAAAATCCCTGCTTCAGAGCAATAGTAACATGATTATTTTAGCACCTGGATTAATTCCCCTTCCAGTGTGTCAAAGGTCATGGATCCTGCTCTAATTGAAAGGCAGAATTAAGCACAGGAATGGAATGTGATTGTTGCAAGAGTAGCTGATTCTGATAATTACAACATAAATATTAGAATTCATGAAACATTAAATTGTGGAGTTGATGTTGCATCATTACATTTAAAATCTTTGCTAGCTTCTGGATTTAAGATTCATTAACTTAGCTATATTTTTAATACATTTCAGAACAGTGGAACCTCTGGAGTATTACAGGAGATTTCTGGTGGGTAAAGGTGGTTATCTACACATTATGGCTTTTGATAATATATACCATTTTGAAGACAAAATTCCATTTAATTCATTTGGATTAATGAGGTGTATTTTTCCCTTGGTTATGTAAAAATGTCACCAACGTTTAGAAAGAGAACTGCCGTCCTGATGGAAGAGAACTTGGTGAATTCCGAACCACAACTGTCAATATAGGTAGGATATGTGCCCCTTGCACTTGTATTACATCACCAGGTTTTAGGCTTTCCACTGCTAAAACAGTTTTGCAACCAAATTGTTCATTTCAAGGGGATTCGATGATTTTGTGTTAAAAGATTTTATGTGTTTAACAATCCCTGTGACTGAATGCAAAATGATAAATCCAAAGATAGTGTAATTCTTAAAACACCAATTTTAAATAGTAATGCAGTTTCAAAATTAATGACTTGAATATGGAATAACTAAAAGAAGCTGAGAGGGGTAGCAGGATACTCATACATAGCAAACTTTATAATTCTGTTGCTATTTTCCCATTGTAGAATTTTCATTTTCTTTATGTACTGTATTTATCTTTTCAGGTTCAATTAGTACAGCAGATGGTTCTGCTTTAGTGAAACTGGGAAATACTACAGTAATTTGTGGAATTAAAGCGGTAGGTTTAATATATATATAATTGCTGACATTTGGAACTGCTGACCTTTGAGTTACCAAATTAGCTTCAAATATTTATTAGCTAAATGAATTTGAAAAACATACTTATTAGCTGATAATACACATCTATACTTCTATTGTATGTCAGGTTTTTAGTATTTGTTTTAATTTTCCAAGAGCTTTTGGCTAAATAATGCAATCCAAATTTAATGACTTTCTAAAATTTACATTTATCAGATCACTGAATTGAAACAACTTTTTGAATCTTTTTTTTTTTGTCTTTCTGAGACCAGGTCTTGCTATGTAGTTCAGGCTATTCTTGAGCTTACTTTGTAGCCCAATCTGGTTTTGAACTTGCAATAAACCGACTGCCTCATTGTGGGCATGTGCCACTACACTGGGATTGTGGGCATGTGCCACTACACTGGGCATTTTAAATTTTTATATTTTGGTTATATTACTAGAAAAATTGGTAAATTTTACATTGACATTCTCTTAGCCAGTGATAGCTTTTAATCTGTGTAAATGTGTAGAAATTTGAGTGTTAAAGAAAGGTGTGAGGGATTAGTAGCTATCATAAATTTACTGAGTGCTTCCTCTGTTTTAGGCACTTCTTTTAAGTACTATACAGAATTAGTTTCCATCTCCTGCTTAATAGACGAGGTTTAGTAACCTGTATATATATGCAAGGTTCATAAGCAGAACACTGACCTAAATCTGATTTTCAGTCTTATACTTTTTTGACTCATTATAGCCTGTATAATCCGAGTTCATTTGTCTTTGGTAAAGTTGGAGTGGTATCTATCAGTAAGATTGGACTAGAGACTAGGGACTTTAGTTGTATTATACTATTTGTTGTTCATTAGTAGTCCCTAGGAGCAGACACTATTATTTTGCCTATATAACAGATTGAAAGAGGTTAAGCAACTTGGCCCAAAGGTCTCACCTTGTTAAGTGTAGGTCTGACATTGACCTGGATTAGTGATTGCAGGGCTTGTGCTCTTGACCTTGTGGTATCATACCACCTGGGGGTTCAATTCACGTTGGATTCCTAAGGAGTACAAAAAGGGTGGACAGAAAGCCACTATTGTAAAAAGACCCCCAGGTAGTCTTGATGAACAGAACAGCACTGTGGCATAGTCCACTTTACTGTAGTGGATTGATACCTTGCAAAGCTATTGTGAGGACAAACACTAGTCTGCTCAGAGCCTCTGACCCAGTTCTGGAAGCACAGTTGATGCTCAAGGTGTGGTTGGTAATTATAAGTGGTCTTTGGTGGACCCTTCCATCAGTGACTGCCAAACTTCAGTTTTTTAGTGGCTTCTTTCATTTGTTTTTCTCTACAGGAATTTGCAGTACCACCAGCAGATGCCCCTGATAAAGGGTATGTTGGTAAGTTAAATGTTGTGTAATTTTATACAAACACTGTAATGCTTAATTCTAGGTAAGTCCGAGTAGTTGAGTTAAAGACTATTGTAAATATTCAGAAATAATAAAGCACATTTCCAAAAGTGCTAAAACCGTATTCACAAAATACAAAATGTCGATCATTTAACCTCTATCAAATTTGTATTTATGCATTTAGCTGTCATTGCAGACTTCCCTGTTTCATGAATTCTGTTTTAAACTATGCAATTTTCCCTTGTCATGGATCATCAATTCCTTATAAAAGGAGCCAACACTTTTAAAATGTGAAAAACAGGTGTGAGCAGAGGGACTACTACATTGTTACAGATTAAGGTATTTTGAGAAAATGGAATTGAGGCCTAATGTAGATGTCTAAAACAAAACTGTGGAAAAACGAGAAAAATACATATTTCTTTTTGAATCTAAACCTATTAGTTACATCTTACAAAAACCAAAAAGAATACAATTGTAATGTTACTTTGATTTCTGCCTGTAAACGTTTGTCCACAGTCATGATTGCCTTTGCTGTGGATTGAACACCTTTAGTACTTCAGAAGGTGAAGTTTCGTTCATAGCTGCCAAGTGTTTCTTTCAGTTCCTAATGTGGATCTCCCACCTCTGTGTTCATCGAGATTTCGCTCTGGACCTCCTGGAGAGGAGGCACAGGTGGCTAGCCAGTTCATTGCAGATGTCATTGAAAAGTAAGATTGGTGTGACAACATTTTACTGTCATATACTTTCATTTACTGTCATTGACCTTTCATTTACTGTGACTTTTTTGTCATTTTAAATCAAGTTCACAGATAATTCAAAAAGAGGACTTATGCATTTCTTCTGGAAAGGTAAGAGGAGTATAGAAAAAGGAGATTTTGAGATGTTCTTATGGGGAAGAGTAAACAGTAGTGTTCAATATGGAGGGCTTCTCAATTTCAGATGGAATTCAGTAAAACAAAAACATAATTCGGTCTTTATCTAAATAAACTAGGTTCATAAAAAAGGTCCTAAGTTGTTGATTGCCTGGGAATAATCTTTTAAATTCTCCGTAGCTCTTAAGAGAAAAATAATTTTTTATTCCTTGTAGCAAGTTATTTTGATTATGCTATACAGTAGATTTCAAAACTGCCTGCTAGAATTAGACTGATGAGGAATTAGGCTTTTCTTGTTAGGTTGTGTACAAATTAGCACTGTAAAATGGTAACATTTCATATATTAGTTTCTGTGGGAAAGTACATTTTGAAAGCTAGGGCTTTCAAAAGCATCTCCCTCATCTAACCTAGCAAGGAGAAAGGAAATGCCCTCAACAGCTGTATCTCCCTTGAGGGAAATGGAAATGTCTGTCACTTGGTAGTCAAAACCAACTTTTTGCCCAGCCTGTTCACTTCTTTTGATCTTCTACTTATAAAAGCAGAGGATTTTAAAAATCTTCTGAGTCTTGAAATCTTTTTTGTCTAGCCAGGGATTCTATGGTTTTAAGCAAATAGCACTTTTTGCAAACCCTGACTACAAGGTAAAAAAAAAAAAGAAAAAATCAAATAATTTAATCATTTTTTGTGTAAACCTTTAGCTTGCGTGGGTTCTGTACTGTGATCTCATTTGCCTGGACTATGATGGAAACATTTTGGATGCCTGCACATTTGCTTTGTTAGCAGCTTTAAAAAATGGTAAGCAACTTAAATAAAAGGTAACGTTCCTATTGAATGGGAATGTTGTTTTGTGACACATTTAATATACATTTGTCCATTGAACTTTCAAGGGTTTTACTTAAGATTAGTCACCAATCATGTTTTTAAGTTAATGAACTTATATGATTTTCCAAATACACGTCAAAGGTTTTATATTCTCTAATTAAACTTTCTAGAGTTGCCTTGACTGTACTTATTTGAGTTGATGAAGATAGATCTTCAAGTATTCTCTGAGTTCTTTTTGTATTGCCTGTAGTAGAATGGACTTGTCTTTACCACAGAACTATGTCTCATCTTTAATGGTAAAGTTTCTTAGTAAAACATTAGGTAGACTGGTTTGTTAGGATTCCAGTAACTGATACATATTCCTATTATTGTATTGCTGAATTGATAATATATCTGAAGATATAATCTTAACAGTGTAAGGCTTAAATCTGAATCATATCTATCATTGTGCTTATATTTCCTTTAAACAGAGATGACAGTACTTTGTAATTACTGATGAGTGAATACAATGAAAATGTGAAAATGTTTGAAACAGTATGTAGCATATAGAAAAGGGCTAGACATTTGATTTCTTAACTTGAAAAAAGAATGAAATAACAAGGCAGGAAGCTGGGTGTGGTAGTGCATGCCTATAATCCCTATAAACACTCAGAAAGCTGAGGCAGGATCACCATGAGTTTGAGGCTAGTCTGGGCTACATAATGAGACCCTATCTCAAAAGATCAAAACAAAGAAAGTAGGCAGGAATATTATAGATTGTGAAATACAATGTTTATTTCCACACTATGCACCTCAGTTGTCCTAGTAAGATTCTTTAAAAAAAAAATGTTCTGCACATTCTTTTTTTTAAAAATGTATTAAGCATAGAAACCTTTGAAATACTTATTTGGCATATTTGCCTTTTCCTAGTACAGCTGCCTGAAGTCCGTATAAATGAAGAAACTGCTTTAGCAGAAGTTAATTTAAAGAAGAAAAGTTACTTAAATATTAGAACTCATCCAGTTGCAACTTCCTTTGCTGTGTTTGATGAGTAAGTTAATCAAACATTTATAGGTTTCTACATTCAAAATTATAACTCTTGATAGAAATGCCTTATGATGGATGACCCTGTGTTCTAATTTGCCCTGGCCATTTTTTTGAGCCTGGGTCTCGCTCTGTAGCTCAGGCTGGCTATGAACTCACGATGACTCTCCTGCCTTGGCCTCCTGAGTGCTAGATTGCAGATGTGCGCCCTATACCTGGCATACCCTGAACATTTCCATCCTCGCACATTATTGTTGTCAACCCTTCCATTTTCATAAGCATCTTGAATTGGGTAATTATTCTTGTGCTCACTTCTGTGTTCCTTGGTTTATATATCCCGGTGTAATCTTGTGGTATTTGTGTGTGTGTGTGGTGCTGGGGATTAAAGTCAGGGCTTTATCCATGCGAGGTGAGCACATTATCACTAACCTATATACCCAGGGCCCTGTATCTATGTAATATTTTCAATTTTTTCACTAAGCAAGTAGCTGAAGCTATCTTCAGTATTTGCCAAGTACTGTGGCATACTAAAAAATTTAAGAGCAAGTTGCTTGTTGAAGTAATAGACTGTAGGTTGCTATTTTTCTTTCCCACCAGTTCTAGTTTAGTTCGTTTATACCTAAGCTAAATGTAGTACATTTATTCTTTTCAAGTAAAATGTGTTTCTATGGATATGATAACCTACCTTTCTTTCTTTTTTAAATAGCACTTTGCTGATAGTTGACCCTACTGGAGAGGAGGAGCATCTGGCCACAGGAACCTTGACCGTAGTAATGAATGAGGAAGGCAGGCTCTGTTGTCTTCACAAACCAGGCAGGTTTTTATGGAGATGAAAATTCTGTGAACATTTATTAGGATGGGCAAATAGAACGTAGCTTATTTTACTGGTTTCCTAATGTAAGTTCAGTAGTTTATTTGCTACCTCAAATTCATCACGTCTTTTGACTGTGTAACAATGGTTCTCAGTATCTGTCAGGATCTCTAGTAGACCTTACAACATAACTTGCAGATCTTCAGGTCATATCACTGATAGACATTATCTATTTTTTTTTGTTTTATAATTTAGCATGACGTTTTTATAAAAACAACTGAGGTTAAAAGATTGGCTGAATAATTTTTCAGGTGGAAGTGGACTGACTGGACCTAAACTGCAGGACTGTATGGGCCGAGCAGTTACAAGACACAAGGAAGTAAAAAAACTAATGGATGAAGTAATAAGGAGTATGAAGCCCAAATAAACCACCACATTTTAAAAACAGATTTGTAAAAACTATATTTGTTGGACTGTGCACAAATTTTTTATACTAAATAAATATTAAACTACATTCTTCTGTAAAAGATGTTTCTAGTATTTCTTAGGTCCGTTCCATATATATTACATACAATAAAACCATTTTTAAAAAGCAATAGGCAAACGAATGCTGGTTCATGAAACTATTTCCCTGTTTTTATTTAAAAATCATAGGGTTGTACCTTTGTATAAAGTTTGTAAATTTAGCAGTGTAAAATACTGACACATTAAAAAAACAAGATGAAGTAAAAACTCAACTCTTGATTCAGAGTTCTCGAGATTCTAAAACAAAAAACTCAGAATTTGGGAGTAGCTGGAGTGCCTCTCTTCATTTTACTTTTTGACTGGTTGCCTGTATGTCGATGCTGCTGTAGCTGAGCTGTTTGTGCTGCTGCCGCTGCCACAGCCATTTGATGCTGCAAGAATCGCAACTGCTGTAAAAAGAGGGGGAGAAATTCAAGTTAGGTTAGAAGCAGGAGTGGATGTTGCTTTTCCTGAGAGAGATGAAAATAACTGAAAGGGAGAAGAGCACTGAGGTAACAAAAAGGGACTAAAACACATCAAGACAATGCACAGTCAAACAGCACCAGTGGCACAGAAAGTAGCCTGCTGAGGGCTTTTAAATGATTCTTGACAAACTTCAGAATTATTACTTTGCCCTACCAGTCTAAATTGCAGTAACTCAGCAACTTCAATTACCGTTCTGTTATGTAATGATCTTTTATAGCAGTATTTAAAACCACCCTGAATATCAAGATACTTGACTATAATATTCTGACTTGCCTTACTAAAATAATGTTTCCTATGTAAACAGGTTCGACATCTATTAATAGGAACACTTATGCAGTACATTATTTGAAAGTTAATGATTGGCACTTCGAACTACACTGCCTACCAGACAAATGTATGTTAATGTGCCCACCAGCATTTCAAGACAGGTACTAAATTAGGAAAACAGCTTAAATGTACAAAATACATTCAGTGCTCCAAATTCACTGGTTAAAATGTCAAGCTTTTAAATAAAATTACTAAGTTATTTACCAATTACTGAATAGTCTTAAAAGACAGTGAAACTGAAAAAAGATATGTATGCTGAGGTACTTTTGGAGCTGAGTATCTTTAAAAATGTAATGCGAGTGAAGTTGCTGGATTACTTGGATCTGCTGCTGCTGCTGCTGCTGAAAGGCAGAGGAGAGCTGGAGTCTCTGCTGGGGGAGGCTTTGCTCAGGTCTGTCCTCGGCAGAGCCAAGCTGAGACAACACTACAGAGAAGGGAGAGCAGGCCAGTCAGAAAGTCTGAAGGCTACCAGGGTTAGGAAGGGACAACACAGAAAATGAAACAGCAGGAAAGTTAGCAGTATGATTCATTTTAAGTATCAAATCACAGACATTTCAGAATCAATTTAGTCTCCTATTAGTTGGTGTCACTGATTATGGAACTTGCAGGACACAGGGAAGGGAGCACGCGTGCTAAGGCACTGTATCCCTCTCAATGAAATTGATACTGGTCTATTTTTAAAATAACATTTCTTGTATGATATAAAACAGAGCACATTACTTCAAAAACATACCCAAATGAAATAGGAAAACGGGGATGGAGAAATCCAAACTGTCATAACGACAGAACTGATAGACATATGTTTCAAACAAAAGAGTATCAGACTATTAACAATGATGGTGTAAACTGAGACGGTCCTGAGCTGGCTGAGCACATACTAAACAGGTTAAATCTTTCAGGCACAGACGACTAAGTGTAAGGCTTACATGGTTTAATATGTTAACGAAAAGGCTGTTAATTCATGTCTCATTGCCAGTGGTTCAAGTGGCCAACATGTATCGAGTGGTGCAAATTAATCAGTCTGGCAAACTGAGCCTGAAACATTTTCATGATTATTTTAGCCTAGAGTTCTTTCTGCTGTTTACCTTAATGTTATTTTAGAAGATTTATACTCTGTAAATAATGGGATATAGTTATGAACGTTCTGGAAATTAGCTATGAATTAAAGCTTAAAGTAAAATCACTTACTTTCAAAATAAAGACCTTGGTTCTATGCTAAAGCACTTTTAAATGCAGGAACAGAGTTATACAAACATGCAAAAGCATCGCAGCCCAATGTGACAATTCACAATGTTGACGTGTTCATTCATTAAATTCTCAAGACTCTGCCATAGATAGCTCTCTTATGAATTTAGCTGATTTTAAATGAAAATGAAATTAGAATTACAGTCTTCAACTGACAAAAATGTTCATTTTTATTTGCTTTACTATTTACTGCTAGAAGCAGTGAGTAGTCCTTCTTTCAGACTTTACAAATGTCTTACACAAGTGATGTTACTAACCATTAAGATTTAAGTCACAGAATTACAAGCTACCCGAATGAGACAAAAACTGCAATCTAGGAAAATGTCTCAAGTATCTAAAAAAATCGAAAAGTTAACATATTTATCATAAACATTTAGAATAGCTTTGGAAGCTTCTAAGTTGGGTAACTGCATAAAATTTTGTCAGTAAACTAGCATGAGGAAACCAACTAGTGTATAAACTATTTTAAAAAAGCTCTCAGCCATTAATGAAAACAATTCTTGGCCATCAGTAAATATTTAATAGTTCACAGATTAAATATAACCTTTTTCTTGATTACAGCTTGCAAGTAAGTGGTAAGATTCCAAATACATTACTGTTAGTAAATTTAGCATGTGAAATTATGAAGATACATACCAGCTGCCTGTGTATGCATAAAACCTCCTACTCCAGTGAGATTGATAACAGCAGGCTGCTGAGCAGATAAGGCCTGTTCTTTAGTAGTTGAACCTTGTTCAGAACCCTAAATTAAAAATTAAAAAACTAATAAATGACTTATAAAAGCAGGAAAAACAATTTTCAGATTCTAAAAATAATTTTTTCCTGTGCTGAGAAAAAAATATTCGTTTTTTTCAAAAAAGAATAAAGGCTATAAATGTGGCATTATTAAGATTTAAATGAAGGAAAAAATTTTTAGAATTGAACCTGCATTTGCTTATTGTCTGAACTCTAATAATCACTAAGATTATCTGCATTTTTTGAGACAGTCTCATGTTATACTTTCCTAAGACTTTTATGAAGCTATACTGAAAATTTTTTAACCTTAAAACACCCTTTGGAGATTTTTAGTAGGGTAACTCACAAAATGAAATAAAAGGCATAAACATTATAAAAGAAGAAAAAATGGTCATATGCAAATGGTAGGTTTATGTGGAATATATGGAAAAATCAACAAAAAAGCTAGTAAGTTTAGCAGCAAAATGAGATCAACATACAAAAAAAGCATAGACCTGATTAAAGAGAACCCTCCTGAACTTGCAACAAGGTTCATGAAATGAACAATATAAAAAAGCAAACCACATCATCTCTAGCACAGAGCTACTATAAAACAAAAACTCAAAATGTAAAAAATAACTGATAAATAAATTTCTCCCTAAAAACATAAAGGCAAAGAAGCCTGTGTATATCATAAAGGGAGTTAAATAGTCCAAGGACAATGAGTACATTATTTACTAAGAGCTAATTAAAAAGAAGCCAATTAAAGACATAATCCTAACTGTGATGTACCAAACAATACAGAAAGCTCCCTGGAAAATTCCCCTAGTGTGTGGAGTCCAAACATTTATCTAAAGCCCATGTAAGACAAATTCACAAGTGATATTACATCATTCTAGAAAATTAACGCATAGTATATCAAACTTAATGGAAAAGCTTCAGCAATACTGTGAAGGAAATGCATTTCATTAAATGTCTTTTAGAAGAGAACAGTAATCTAAGATTACCAGGAAAGTGTTCAAAAAATAAAGATCTGAATCTACATATTAAAAGGACCCATAGGGAAGACATGGAAAGACCAATTCTCATTATGTATCTAAATGAAAGTATTAGTCTTTGAGGATAAAAATAAACCTTCAGGTCCTTTAAACAAAATGACTAAATAAATACACTCAGAACAGTGAGAAAGTTAGATTGGCAACAGACTATCAAAAACATAAAGCAAGTGGGAAACATGTTCAACAAATTTAATGAGAGCCAGCTGTGGTGGTGCACACCTGTAATCCCAGCACTTGGGAGGCTGAGGCAGAAGTGTCATCTCGAGTTCAATGTCAGCCTCACGAGGCCCTACCTCAAACACATACATACATTTAAAGAGAGACCTGAAACTGTAGAACTCACAGAGAAAAAACTTTGAGAGTTTAGCAAAAATTTTTACAATATAACCCAAAGTCATAGGCAGCGAGGCAAAAATAAAATGAATTACATCAATATTATAAACACTTGTGCAAATAACACTGAGAGTGAAAAGTCAACCTACAAATGGAAATATGTGCACATCACACACCTGATATATATAAAAAGAATGTACATAGACCTTCACAGCTGAAAAAGTAAATATCCTAACAAAGACCTTGAGTACACACTTGCCCAAAGATTAAATAAAGTGTCGTGTATCTGAAAGGACTAAACACTTGGTACTTTACACAGAATTGCAAAGCAAAACCAATGAGACTATCACCTCACCTTCATTAGGATGGCTATGATTAGAAACAAAAGACCATTGAGAACACAAGCTCAGAGGCGGGGTGCATGCTTACCAAACACAAGGCCCTGGGTTTGAGCCCCAGCATCTCAAAACAAGCATCTCAAAACTCAGAAAATAACAAGTATTGGTAAAGATTCAGAAAAACTGCAACTCTTGTGCCTTGTTAGTGGGAATGTAAAACAGTGCATCCCCTAAAGAAAACACTCTGGTCTCAGAAAAGTAAAAGAATTACCATTGATCCAGCAAGTCTGCATCTGGGGATACATCCAAGAGTATTTTCTCTGAAGAGACAATAAGCCTGACACTAAAGGACAAATGTTCTATGATTTCACTTAATAGGAAATACCTAGTGCAGTGAAACAAACCCGAACTGTGACAGCCAGCAACTGAAAGGAGGAAGGGAGTTGATACTGGACATGAAGTTTCACTTCATGCAAGTTGAAAAAAACACTTAAGACTTAACTTGGAAGACTGGCAAAAGCACTGATGGTGATCATTTCATATACATATATATATATATGTTTTTTTTTTCCTTCAGGACAGTATTGTATCTAAGGGCTTCAAATTGAACTACATCTCCAGTACTTTTTTCCTCCGATAAGGTCTTAAGTCACTAAGTTACCAGGGCTGGACTCACACTTACGATTTTCCTGCCTCAGCCTCCTATTGGGTTCAGTTTACATGTGTGGGCACCTGGTTGAACACTTCATATATGTAACTACATAATAGGGCTAGGACCCAGGAATCCATAACATACAAATTTCAGTTTCCCAAGTGCTTCTAGAATGTGGTCCAGGTTCAGAAATACTGGTAGCATTTCCTCTACTCTGTTGCTGTGACTCAGTTTCACTATGTTTAGCAGCATACGATATTTGCTTTTGTCCATGCTCCTACTGCCCTACACTTCATGACAATATAGACAGCTTTATTCTAGCAGTAAACACACAAATGACAACTACAAGGGCAGAGATACTTGGTCTTGCCATTCAAAGTATGGTTATAAGTCATTTTTCTCAGTCTGATCGCTGCTGCATAAGATCCGACATCACCTATTCAGAATGTCTGTTCCACTAAAAATGGGTACCCCAGCAACTGAGTTACTACTGTTAACAAAGAAAAAGTGAAGGAAGCATATGTTCCAACAAGTCAACAAAACCATGTGAAGTATGTTCAGACTATAGGGAAAAAATATCCTATTTTCACAGTGACAGCCCAGAGGCAAAACCTACCTGCTCCCCTGGCTGGTGAGGGCTGGAAGCTGTGGGCTGCTGCGGCTGCTGCGGTGCAAGCTGAGAGACCTGCGGCGGCGGCTGCTGGTGCTGCTGCTGCTGCTGCTGCTGCTGCTGCTGCAGGGAGTTAAAGATAAGCGACCCACCCGGGAGCTATTTGGAATTTAAACATGAATAAATTAGCTATTTTCACATTACTGTATTTGTATATGAAATATTCAAAATTTCTTTATGGCACATATTTTTGGGAAACATTTACTATGTGGTCAGGCACTCTTCTAGGTAGGTACCAAGGAAAGAGGTGAAGAAAGAGCAAAACAAATTAAGTGACCCGTCCTTAAAAAAGATCTGTTTGTAAGTAATTTTTAAGTGTTATCACTCTGGGTTACAAGTATATTAATATCTTCAAACAAATCTTTCTGTATCAAGGTTAATAGCTATCCAATTTACACACAATTATTTAGAGCTCGTCTCATACAGCAATACAAAAGAGCATTAAATGCACTACAAGTAAATAACATGTCACGAGTCAGAAATATATACTGACAAAACGTATTCCTCAAAATTTGTTCTAGCTTTGCCAAAACACCAAAACTATCTGGAGCTTTAATAGACCACAGCAAGGAATTTGCATCAGATATTCATGCTTAGTAAGGAGATTATTCTTTTATTTTCTAAATTAATTTGATTTTTAAAAAATAATTAAAACAAAGAAATACCCAGAACACTAAATACACCAGGAAACAGTTTTTCTTTTTTAAGGTATATGGGTTTAAGTAAGAAGCACTTTGATGTCCTTATAGAAATTCAAAGTAAACACCAATGACAGAAATCTTATGTCGGTATAGTCAAAACAACAAAAAAAGAGACTACCCTTGGTCAGATTACCCTTGAACATAGCACAAATAGCAGAAGTTTGGTCTTTCTTTCCTCAATGTGTAAATATTAACATAAAATCAGGAACACACACATTTTCATTCTCTGCTCAATCACAGAATCTACTATAAACCAACAGTATACAAATGTGTACACGAAATGCCTGCTGAGAGCAGAATTAGTCCCCAAGTGTACCTCAACTATGGGCGTATATCTGACCAGATAGGTATAAAAGTTCTTAATCAGAGATGGCTGGGGGAGTGATTACAAGTGAGGTGTATAAAACATTGTTTCTCTTATCTACCTGATCACACAATATAGCAATAACTGCAACCTCAGAAGATTCTGAACAGACCTCAAAATTTTAAAGGGTAATCTGTATAGATATACATTATTGAAAAAAAAAGAATATAAAAACTTTAATCAAAAGCAGTGTTTCAGTTTTACCTGGAGTAGATTTAAAGGCCTGAGACTTGAAGTATTTTTTAAACCAAGTGGAACACCTGTTAAATAAAACTCATGGTTATAACATAATTACAACCATGAAAATGATTTATAGTTTAGTATACGTACAGACATTTCATGTACTTTCTCCACAGACATGCTTATCTCCTATAGTTAAAAGTTTAAAAACACACTTTCTTCAATATTAATACTGAGATTTTACCGAAAGATTCGGAACAGCAGATGTACATTATACTCTATAAAAACTCAGATTTCTTTTTCTGCTGTGACTACTGCCTAAAAAGAGTAATTTAGAATTACATGGGCACCATGAATATAATAAAACTAATTCTGTTGTCTATTGTGCAAAAATATTTAAAATAACAGCATCTACACTTTTCAGTGCTAAATGATAATATAACAATCCTATTTCTAAGAACTGAACTGATGTACTAATCTATACCATTTTTTTTTTGAAGTACAAAGGTTAACAAAATGCTAAAGTGTGTTAAATTTTGTGAGAAAGGATCAAAACTGCACATCAGAAAACAATGGGTAATTCTGAGCTTATTCCTAAAAACTAGTGACACAAAATACAGCACATCTTAAAGTGTAAGCCACAACATCTGCTGTATGTATGGGTCACATACAATCTCTGATGGGAAAACCTGGCTGGGCGGCACAAGCCTGGGAGCTTTTGGGAGCCTGAGGCAGGAGGATCAAGGCCTGAACTACATAGAGATCCTGTCTCAAAAAACAAAACAAACTGACACTGAAACTATCAAGGTCTTGAGTAAAAAAGTGAAAAAATACAATCCAATTACAATATGGTAAAATTGGTATCCTGTGAGTTCGATCCCTGGTACTGATTTAAAAAAAAAAAAAAAATATATATATATATATATATATAAAGGTGGATTGCCATCTGTAGAGTGTTTTCTGGCTCACCAAAGGCATTTTCATATTTTTATTTCTCAGAAGTGCTGAAGTTAAAACATTTTTATTCCCGGTTTACAGTGGACAAAACAGAGGTCTAAGGAGAAAATTTAGGTGACTTCTCTGAGGTCCCACAGTTAGTAATTAAAGCCATATGTAGCTGGTACTACTGATAAAGTTAATGTATATGTTAATATCCTAATTTAAGATTTAATTCTATTTTCAGAGTATCTGCCACCAAAGTCATGTATGTTCATTAAAATAAAAGCTAGAAGTATGAAATCACTGCAACATGTTAACCTGTTTAAAAATATTCTGATTCTCATAACCCATGGCAAAGTTCTGACAGATTTTTTAGTGTTGTTTTTCTTGTTAAATTTCTTCTCAACAGTAACCAATTTAATCGTTGCAAGGTATACTAATACCTCACTTCACTAACGCTTCTGTTTGCAAACAATTTGGTTTAACAAAATTTGCTTTCGTTCGCAAACTGGTGCACAACCACTGCCATCTTCCCCACACAAACACACACACAGCCATCTTTCCCAAAATCATAAAACAAATTAAGTTTGCAAGTCAAGACATCATCATATTACAATACATTCTTTTAAAGAACATCAGAAAATGGCATGGTTTTTATACATGTTTTCTACTATATAGAAAACTACAATAAAACTTACTACAAATGATGATGACCAGTACTTTTTGAATATTTATGTCTCCTGTACACTTTAAGTACTTCATTTATGTTTACTCATTTTATCTTCATAACTAGGAGATAAACTCCTATCACTATTTATTTATTGATTTCTACATAAGAGGAAAATGAGGCATAAAGGTAAATTTTCCAAGATCACACAAATAGTGAGCTGCCCAAACTTAATTCAAGTAGTGGAAATGAAACTCCAGGACCTAGGTTTTTAATTGCCATGCTATGTTGCCTCTCATGCACTACATGTTTTCAAAATATATTTACTTTCCCTGCAACAAGGCTAATAGCAACACAGCTAATAATATTAACTATCATGTTCAGGAAGCAAAATAAACATGTATGTTTGTAGACTTACAAATTCACCAAGTTTCTTGACAGAAGTTATAAATTCTATGGTTTTAAGTTCAAATACTACAATTTTAAAGTCTTGAAAATTAAATACATAGGGTATACACTTCATAAAAGAATGACATTAGATGCCTGTAGTATTAAATATAAAGTAACATGTTACTTAAAGTAACATTTTTACTTTCTCATATACTTCAATTTTTTTCTCGTAGTTGTTATTTCCCATCTTCTGACCTGCTCGAGGCGCCGCCTGCATGGCACTGGGCAATGTATTTGATAGCAGACTCCCTGAGGGGAGAAGGCTGGTCAAGTTTACTCCTGCAGGAGTTACGGCACCAGTGTTACAGCCCAGCACAGGATTTGAACCAGTCATCAAAGCCTGGGCCCCACTGCAGGAGAAAGACAAAGCATTAAACTTGCACAGTAAAGGGAAAAATAAACCACATAATCCCTCAGATTAAAAAGCAAACTATAAAACAAAATCATTTCTCTGTCTTAAAAATCAGTTTTATGCTCAGCATTATTTTCACTGGCAATCAAGTTGGCTACAAGTACACACTGAACATGTATCACAATTCCGAAGTACCACTCGGAAAATACTAACCAAGGGACTGAAAGGTGATAAGAGAGCATAAACAGAAAGATCTACACTACTATCAATATGAAGAATCTTCGTGCACATAGTAGGTGCTTAACTACAATTAAAATAACCTCTTTCCATATCTGAACTACTATCTTTCCATTTGAATAATAATCTGTTCATAATCTCATAAATATGTATTTATTTAGTTGAGAATATTTAAAAAAAAAAAAAAAAAAAAAGGTCATCCATACAGACTTACCAAACAGAGCCCACTACATTGATGAAGTTAAATCCAGCAGAGTTTGCCATGACCTGGGTGGCTGTGGTTCCTGTAGTTATAGATGTTACCATGGTGGAAAGAGGAATGGTCGTTACAGGCATTGCCTGGCTCAGAGACATTTGCTGCTGAGCAAACTGGGTTAACAAAGTGGGCTGAGGGGTGAAGCCTGAATCTTGGGGAGTAAGGGTGGCTGAAAGGGCACTAGGAGTTGAGCTCTGAGCATCAGGAGGGTGTGGGGTCGATGAGGGGGTTGGTGTAGGAGTAGATGGCTTAGGAGTTCCAGATCCTGCTCATTGAGAAAAATAAAAATTGCTCGTTTGTTATAAATGGCCAATCCTTTTTAAAATAAGGTTAATGGAATCTTACTTAGCACTGACAATTGGTTCGTTTTTTTTAAGCAGTTAACTGCAAGTGTTAATTTCTACACATGATACATGAGTGTTGCTACACTCAATTACAATTAAGGATGCAGTATATCACCTAAAAAAATCCCATTAGATATGCTATTACAGTAACAGTAAAAATATACATTTGTATTCTACCAGATTACTCATTTAAAAGTTCATTTCCTACATGCTGCCTTTGGCCTAAAAAGTTCAAAAGGAATTCAAATTAAGTTTTGTTATTTACTATTTCACTAATTCAAGACTTTAAAAAATAGTACTTATTTAGTGTAACAGTCTTCAATAAACTGCAAGCATATTTATAAATTACATATGGTTAACAATCATATTTGGCACCTGCATATACATGTTTAAGTTCTAACACATCAAGGTTATCCTGACAAACAAATTTACAAAGAAAAAAAACAAAACAAAACAAAATAAAAAAAAAACAGTAATAAAGTAAATATCTGATAGATAATACTGCATCTTTAACAGTAACTGTGTACTTCTGTTTAAATGTAGAATGTATAGATCTGTTGTGAATGAAGTATGCACAGTTTATCAATTAAAAAAAATAATAAAAAACAAAAACCAAAAAAGTAAAACCAAAAGCTCTTGAGGTGTTTTCTTTTTTAGCTTTCATGTCCTGCAGAAAGAAAGGAAAGAAATGTGAATGTCCAGAAGCTGTCACTCAACCCTTACTTAAAAAGTAACAACTGTGTGCAGTAGATTACCATAATCCATACCCACAACATGAGAAGTGTGAATAAGACTTTCATAAAATTTATATATTTTCTTTGTGCAAAACAAGAAGGCAGAAAAATGACACCTTTTGAGCTATCAAGAGGAAGATGTTTACATCTAATTCCAAGACCATCCTATCACTGTGCAGTGATCTAAAACTTTCAGCACACATTGCTTATCTATAAAAAAAAAAAAAAAATCTAAAAAACTGGAATGCTTTTTTCCCAAATCGAGACCTAAAATATTCAGGTATTTACCAATTTAAAGAAATTCTCCCAATTAATTTCATTATTCATGTACAACTCTTTTGATATTAAAAAAGTATCTAGTAGTAAAAATTATACTTTGTATCTTCAGAATAATGCTTTATGATCATCTCACATCTTAGTAACTAACAGCAATTTATAGAGAGTGTAGGAGTGTTTCTGAAATACAGATTTTCAGTTTTATTATCATCTTGGAACTAACTGGTTTCTTACATATATACAAGGATAGGACCTGCAGCAATAATTCTTAGAAGATTTTTCCATTTCAGCCACATAGTTCACATAAAGTGTAAAATGATCCTAGGATACACTGGAATAAAAAATATTTTGGAGTCTTACTGCCACAAGTTAACTATCAGAATTTTTTAAAGAAGTTGGGTAGGTTGAAAGTCTAGAAGAAAGGTATACACAGAGTGCATACAGATACAGAAAAACACACTACAATGAACACATAATACATACAAAAAAGAGCTCTGTCTGAAGCTTCTCAAAAAAACACTCTGGGTACACAGTACATTTAGATTTCACTATTTCACAGGTAGAAAAAGGTTGTCTTAAAAACAATGAAAATTTAATGAAGAATCTGTTATGACTCACTTTGTGATGAGCTGGCAGGTGACAAGGCAGCTGGAGAAAGCATGCTAACTTGATTGAGATCCACCGATGACTTCCGAGAAAGATTCGGTGGTTTAGAAGAAGGAGGGGGAGTTGGAGACTTAAGAAAGCTACTGGCTTGTTGTGGTGTGAAATAGTTGCCTAGCAGAAGAACATGAGAATTATTTTCTAGATTTATAATTCAACATTCTCTGAGTTGCAGGAAAAAAATGAGTAAAATTTTTAAAAAGATTATGATTCTATGCCATTTTTTAAACTTAAATTATAGAAAAGTAAGGATTTTAATACCTGAGGCACTATTTCCTGAGCTTGAGGGAAGTTTGATGGGTGGAGGTCGATGTTTCACCCCTTTTCCCAATACTGAAGACTGGACGGACACAGTCTCAGCCTGCTGAAAGACAGTGACATTAAACATAACTTAGTAAAATTAAAATTACCACCATATTAACTCCCAGATGAGACCAATTTATAACTCTGAAAATTATTCCTAGTAGTCACAGACTGACTATCCCAGATGTAACAAATACAATTTCACATGAAATACACTGCAGCACACCTAAAGGATGAGGAAAGACTTCTGAGCAACTGAGACACTCTGAGGGAGAAGAGCAGAAGAGTAAGATGAGGGCGAAGTTCCAACTCCTTGACCCTCCTTTTCCAGGAAAGTAGCTGCTAAGCTGGATGACCAGCATACAAGTACTCATTATCCTGCCCCTTTTTCATGTGCTTCTGAAATTTCCTATCACAAAAGTTAAAATCAAAACTATCTTCCTACCTTTTAAAATATGATTCTTAACATTTGTCAGATTCCTTAAGAAACAACTAGGTACACACAGTAATGAGACATACTTCTGTTTCTTTCCCAGGAGAAAGCTGGTTTAGACTGGTGGAGCCACTAGAGCTGTGTGACATTTTGACTGGACATTTGGCTTCATTCTGGACCAGTTCCTGGTACTGATTAACCACCCTGAGTGTTAGGAGAAAACAGGTAAGACCACTAGTCCTGTTTAAAATACAGATTTATTATAAAAAGATGAATAATGCTATTAATGGAAAAAATGTTCCACGAAAGCTAACACAAAAGTGAAAATTAAGGTAACTTATCTTTTGTGTTAAATGCTTTCTTCTAATCTTTCCAATGACAAACTCATGTTAAAACAGTTTGTTAACAATTTAAAGATACATTTTTAATATTTACATCTAATACAGAAAATGCAGGGATAATTTAACCATTCAAAGAAATTACTGCCTTATTCTTAAATTCAGATTAAAATGATCTTCTATAGCTACAGCAGATGTCTCTGCTTTCTTACTTAAAAACAAAACTGCATTTAAAACATTCTTTTAGCTATTTTACTGATTCCATTAAGAGTCTAAGTATTAAAATATCAGATCTAGTTAAGTCTTTCAAAATCTGATTCCCTGAAAATAACTATTTTTAGCCAATTGTTATATCACATCTTTTGCTATTTTTACTAGAATCAACAGTATTTTCAAGATGGGAAAGACCATGGAGATTTTATTGTTTAAATACCAAATTTCACATGAAACTCATAAATATTAACATATAGTAATTCAAAGAATTTTAAGAAATAGCATAACTAAAATCAAAGCTTATCTTCTAAAAAAAGTGCTAATGTATAAAGTGAAAAGTTTTTCATATCCATCCTGCCCAAAAATAAAGATGCAAGTATTTTTTTACCTCTCAGCATCAGTTTTTGATCCAATAATGAACCTAAATGTTAAAGGGAAAGAAAAAGTATTAGATAAGAATGTGTTAAAAAGCCATTTTAAGCTTTTCACATTTTACTTACAATAATTTTATAAGCAGATTTGAAATCTACCAAAATATCAAAAAATTTTAAAATACACTTAAACTTATGAAGCAGTAACCAAGTTCTGCATGCACAACATAATTATGCACGATGTTGCTGATTTAAGTAAGGGGACATTTACTTTGTTATAAGATTTGTCAAAACAATCTGGCCCAAAAATTACCAACTTACCACCAAAGAATTATCACTGACACAAACAATGACTTGGCTCTACTACGCAATCACTGAACAGGGCCTTTTGGCCTTCCATTCATTTTCCTCTTGGATTCTGGAAGTCATTTTGTTGTTTGGTTCTAGGAATTGAAGCCATAGCTTTTGCACAGAGCTGTTATTTACAGCTTTTTTTTTTTTTTTTTTTTTTTTTTATAAAGTATCTTCAGACAGGATCTCACCAAATGGCCTAAACCGGGCTTGAACTTGTGATCCTCCTGCCTCAGCCTCCCAGAGTGCAAGGATTACAGGCTATCATGCCTAGCTCAAAGACATTCTTCTTATCTACACAATAATATGCCTTAGAATACATTTCAGACAAAGAAGACAGCTTATTGCCAGTTGAAATAAAAACCTCTATTGTGTTCTTTTAAAAGGTTTGACTCCCTTAATGGATTAAAATAGTGCTTATTTTTCAATTACCAATTTGCAAGATCATCTGTGGAGGAGCTGAAAAATATAAAATGTAAAAAAAAAAAATCTAAGTTAATGCAGCTCAAATTTTAATTTCAGAATTATTCAATAATGAATTACTCATTATGAATACCAATGAAAGACTGGCAAATAATAAATCATGCAGCAGCTGATGTAATGGCAAAAATAAAATAAATAAATAAAATTTTTTCCCCGTCAAAGTAGTCAGTGAACTTTTTATGGCCTAATTTTTCATAAGAAAACATATAGTATGCCCTCATGCCCTAGAAAAGTTAGTAAGTTTACAATAACCCATGTATGTCTTTAGGGAAGATTTTTAAATATGGGTAATCAAAATATGTGACCTTTGTATTCCCTCAGCTGAGGAGTTCCTAACTGCTGCTTTTTTGCCCACTGACTTTTATGGAAGTATAGATGAAGCTAGTCATCTTTAAATAGCCACCGTTCTACTCTAATTTCCATTCATGTTTCATAAAGGGTTTTACAAACAGTTCAACATAATAAACCTGGCCTCTGCCTTTCTGCTGATCTCTTCTTTATATATAATTCTTTTCAAAACATTATCATGTGATTTAAAAATCAAAACTGGTAATAAAACCAACAGTAAAAACTAACACAGCTAAATACTGAGCCGGGGACGGTGGCACAGGCTTGTAAGTGCAGCCCTCAGGAGGATAAGGCAGGAGAATCTGGAGTTCAATGCCAGTCCCGAACTACATAACGAGACTTTGTCTCAAAAAGAAAACAAACTGCAATCTGTGCTACATGTACACAGATCAATCATATAAACTGTGAACACATAAATAAACCAAGACAGACATCACAGAATAATCTTCAAAGCTTAGCATAAAAATAATCATATTACAGCATATATTCTTTGATTTTCAGGTTTAGAACTCACTGAGATGGAGACATCTGGCTATCACTTTCTTCATCTCCTTTACATGGTTGGATTTTACCATAGTAAAGTGGATCACCAAGTGACTGCAAGATGGTGAGCTTTGTTTTCTGACACTGATTACCAGCTTCATATTCAAATACATAATCATCTTTAACATCCTGCAAAAGAACATCCCAAATAATACCTTTTCAAGTAAGTAAAGGACTAAAACTAGCAAACATTACAGAAATGACATGCTAACTTATGTCTGGTAATAGGAAGATGCATGGTCTTTAGATTACAGAAACGCATAAGATTTCCTGAAAAGAAAGCTACGACAGTTCTTTTTTAATAAAGTATTAACATATAACAATCAAGTGAGAACATGTAATGATACTAGAAGTTAAAATATTAATATAACTAAAATCATAGCAATAAACATTTAACAAACATTGTTGTCAGCACACTACAGGTACAGCGTCAAGAAATCATCATGCCTTTATGGCTGGCACTATCACTATCATCTTGAACTTAAGCTAACTGAGCAAGTCTAAGTGACTTGCCCCAGTTCCCAGCATGTACCCTGGCCTCCCTGGTGCCCTGCCCCCTCACCTTCCACAGGACTACACGAGATTTCTGTGTCACCATGGTGCTTTGAGAATGAGAGCACCAACTAAGTAGTTACTAAGCTCGCAAGAAATGTGGCAGAGATTTACATGCTGGACATGTAAACTGCAAATACTAATAAGATAAAACATGAAAATTTTAGTCACACAGAAAATCACATATACAAAATGTCTCATAATTTCACTATGTTTCTTCTAATACATTATACCTATCTCTAAGAAATTATTATTGCAACTAAAGATTCAAAAATATCTTTTAAGAGACACCCTTAAAAGAATGCACTGATGAAACAAAAAGCAAATGATAACTACCAATATGTACCTAAACAAAAGTTAAAGTGCAACTCTACATTTAAATAGCTCTTTATAATGCAACATATATTTAGAGAAGATGAAATCATTATTCCTTCTTATAATCTACTGAAATCCTAGAAAAAAATTTTTTTTTTTGAGATAGGGTCTCGCTATGCAGTTCAGGCTGGCCTTGAGCTCACTTTGTAGCCCAGACTGGTCTTGAACTTGCAACGATCCTCTTGCCTCAGCCTCCCAAGTGCTGGGATTACAGGAATGAGCCACCACACTCGGCGAAAGTTATTTTTTAAAGAAGATTCCAGATTAAAAGTAACTAAATGTTTAATAAATTGAGAGTCCAAATTACAAACAGCATCATTAGAAGAAGATACACAGTGATTACTTACATGGGCTGGCCAGACGGTTGGCTGTGAGTCATCAGATTTGATAGACTTTTCCACTTTAGCGTACTTTTCCACCTACACAATTAAATCAAGATGCTATAGAAAATGCAATCACTATTCTGACCAAAGGGAACTCAACAATACAAATAGTTATTAATACTGACTTTTGATTCAATGCAATATCATCAGCTACTTAATGTCCAAGTAGTATAAAATTCTAATGTGCCTGATCAAAACAACTTTAATAATAAAATAAAAGTAGAATTTCTTTGACTACTAATGAAGTATGAGTCACAGCTGGTCAGTGCCTCTTCTTTTTACTCCATTAATCTGACAACTTAAAAAAATGGACTGTCTGAGAGAAAGGTAAGCATCAGGACCTTTTCCTTGTGGCATGGCTTTTAATGGAACAGTTGTCAGGTACTAATGAAAACAAAACTAGACAGAGAAAGGGACAATAAAATATTAAAATTGAGAAAAAAATTGAAATCCTTTCCCTTTTTTGGGTTTTGTTTGTTTTTTTTTTGAGTAAAGGTTTCACTACATAGCCAATAATGGCCTTGAACTTGTGAGAGTCTTCCTGCCTCAGTCTCCTGAGTGCTGGGATTACAGGTGTACACCACCACACTCAGCTTAACATTTTCTACTTTCTGATCAGATTTGGGCTATATGTTCTGTACTCCTAAGGATATGTGTGAACTAAACATTCTCACTTTCTTGGAAACCACAATCTTAAAAGAAACTGAGGTAGGGATATAGCTTAGTAGCATAGCACACGCTTAGCTAGGGTTGAGTTTGAGCTGAAAAATCCTTTGACCCTCAGAAATACAGTCATTTAGATTCATCTAGGCACTGTTAAAAATACAGATTTTTTTTTTAAATGTCCCTTGCCAGGAGATTGTGATTAAGTGAAGTAGCTCTGAATTAGGAACTGAAACCTGTATGTTTAAGTGACAGCCTATATGACTCTTCCAATTGAGCTAGTGACTAACTCTGGAATTACACTGTGGCCTATGGGCTCCAGCAATGGTAACTTGGAAGTCTGTGAGAATGCTGGCATCTTACCCCCAGCCCAGATTTGATGAATGGTAATGCATAATGTAATGAACTTCCCAGGTGATTTTAAAACATCACCTGCAGTTTGAAAAGTAAGGCTTCAGACACATGCCACTCTCTAAAGCTCCATTTCACCCTGCTCACATTCAATACCTATGCTTAGGTTGTTCCTTCAAGACTACATAAGCTGCACAAAGATAATGCAGCTTACTTCCTTCAGTTGCACACAAACTCCATTGTGCTTTGCAGATTTTCTTTGTAAACCATAGTAAGAATAGTATATGTGATAGCCAAGGAAGGGTGCAAAAGAATATATGATAATAATTAAACAATTGTAAAGAATGTAAGAGAAAAAAAACAGAAAGAAATATAGGACCTCTAATCACAATGTTTCTATCTTGGATCATTTCTATGTGGTGTGACAGAAAAATATGGCATTTGAGTAAAAGTTTATTAAAATAAAAAGACATTGCCATTAATCCCTCTCAAACACTCTGCCCTCTTTCAATCACACTTATCCCATTATTCCTGATACTCACTGAAGCAGTTCTCTAAATCTCCCTTGGTGAGTGTCTTTGGTTGTGTTATTGTGGTCAGTGTTTTGAATGGATTCAGAAGTTTTAACATTCATGGTCATTTTGACTTTGGAGAAGAGCCAGAGTTTGCACTGTGCCAGATCTAGTGAAGAGGGTAGATGAAGACACACTGTAGCATTTTTATGTGACTGCCTTTCTTTTGGGTGGAATGTAAGCAATAGCATTCAATCAAATGTTTTTTTCAATCAATTTTTATCATGTTTTATAAAGATGCTCAAACAAGAGGACTTCAGAAGTGCTTTAGAAATGGCAAAACAATGGGATAAAAGTGGTTGAAATAAGCAGTAGTACTGTCAAAGGGATTAATTAATGACAATGTGTTTTACTGTAATAAATGTTTAATGTCTGCAGTATTTTTTGATCATCTCTTCTAGTTTATGTATATCACAAATCAGTGAAAAATACTGTGTAAATTCCGAATTCTGGCCATTGATTCAATGTTATCAATCTTTACATTTTAGTTTGAGGAAAGAAGTTTTAACAAATTATGAAGAAATACAAGAAAAAAACAAAAGCATTGCATATATTACATTTTCAAATAGTTACTTCTGTTTGGAACTACATTAAAGGGTTATACTCCCATTTACTCCATGTGAAGATTACAGTTTCTAAAAATGAGCAGCTGTATTTTCATTCTACTTTTAAAAGAATTAAGGTTTCTCCTAAGATATAGTTATTGGCTACCTATTTGACAAAACAGGAACTATAGTAGGAAAAAGAGACAATTTATGAATTAATTTATGACTTACATCCACTTCAGAAGGTATGGACAAATTACAAGGACTCCGTTTCCACATATCTACACACTGAAAAATTAAAAACAGTGTAAATATAAAATTCAAAGTAAGGAGAGCTTGTTGGTATAGGCTTTGTTAAAAACATACATACTCACATTTCCTGCTTTGGAGATTTTGAGGTCATAGTGCTGACCTGCTTTCCTTTCCTTTCGTTTCTGTAAGAAATCAAGTAGTCTCAGCTGAGGAGGAGGTGGGCAGTGAGACAGATCTTGCTGCCGATTCAAGGAAGATCTGGAGTATCTCTTAAAGCACCTAAAACATCAGGAGATTTAAACTAAACAAAGCTAGTAAACTCATGTGTAAGTCTGACTAGGAAGCAACATTATAAAACCAAATCTCAAGCATTTACAGAATAGTATTACATGCCAAGCATTGTCCTGGGCCCTGGTAAAACAAAAGCGACTAAGACAAAATTCCCATTAAAATGCAGCTAGCTGGTAGTTTAGAGGGGCAGACGGACATTCACACTCTGGAGGAAAATATTCCAAAAACAGAAAAATTGACAGCAACTTATCACAGAAGTGTTTTGGTTCCCTCTCCACAAAGGCATTACCGTTTCATGGGGCGAGTATTCATCTTTTGCCTGTTATAGAGCAGTCTGTTTACTGTGCAGGTTACTGCTATGGAAGGATCAAGACACAATGGTTCCGCGGTAGCTAGAATCAGCTGGCTCTCAAGCAGAAGTTTGTCTTCCTGAAATGTAGAAGAGCAATGTCAACACCAAGTTTAACATGTTGAAGTTAGGTGCAGTGCAGGCCATACAGCTTTATCCCAGCTCCTCAGGCTGACAGGGAGGAACCTGAGTTTGAAGCCAGCCTGGGGTACCCAGTAAGATCTCAACTCCGCCCCTCAAAAAAAAATAATTTTATAATACTATACCCAAATCTAATAAATACTGGCTTTCACAGGTACCACATAATTTACTTTACCAAATCCTACTTTCCCCCCATAAACCTCAAAATGTCTTAGTAATTACATTTTATGTTACATTTTTGCAATGGTAGAGACAAAACCCAGGGCTTCACACATGCTACACAGTGGTTTTATCAATGAGTTATACTCTCAGCCTTCTCTAACAAGTTTTTAAAGTCAAATTGCTGAATAAGAACTTTTGGGGAAAAATGCTTCTTTTTCTTCTCTCCCGCCCTCCTTTCCTTCTTTTTTTTTAAACAGGGTCTTGCAATTAGCCCAAGCTGGCTTTGAACTCACAGCAATCCTCCTGCCCCAGGCTCCTGAGTGCTGAGATTACAGGCATAAACCACCATGCCTGGAAAGAATTCATTCAACTTTTATTATGGGAATTTTCAAACATACAAAAAAAAAAAAAATGACACCTACATACCAATAGCTAATCATCGCCCAATTTCATTTAGTGACTATCCTAACTTCAGCTTGTCTGCTAGAGTAATTTAAAATACATCTTAGATACAGCATTCACTTGGAAAACCTTTAGCATGAACTGGTAACAGATAAGGATCTCTAACATACGTCTAGACTTAAAATTCTTCCCTCTGTGGTACATAGCATGTATTTTTAGTTGATTTGTTTGAATCTGAACTTAAATGAAGTCTTCTACACACTGTATTTGGGTTTTATAACTTATAAGCACTTTTTGGGGGTGGTTGATACTGAGCATCAAATCTAGGGCCTCCACATTGACCTATGCTTGTATCCCTTCTTTTTAGACTTAGCCTTCGGCTAAGTCCCTGAGCTGTTCAGGCTGGCTAGGCTCACACTTGTGTTCCTCCTGCTTCTGCCTTCCAGAGCTCCAAGATCTCAGGCATGTGTCCCCACACCCGGCTACAGGCACCCTTTCAATTCTGTAATGACTGCTTCTTCCTTGATCTTTTTTCCTTTTTTCATGGAACCGATTTTGCTGGACTTGAGTAAATCATTTAATTGGATCTGGCTGGTTGCTTCCTCCTCATGTCACTCAGTCTTCTTGTATTCCCCATAAACTGCTAGCTAGATCGACAGGCTGGATTTACCCTAGCTCCGGTCTCTTCACTGGTATCCCATGTCCTACACTCGCTGCACCACTCCAGGGGGCCTCACTTTCAGATTAGCAGGTTCAGTCAGACATCTAACTTTTTATAACATTTTCACAATGAAGGACTGCTGTCTAGATTTATAAAGACTTCTAAACTGAAAATATACTCTTTTTAAGCCTGTCATTTCTTTTGTACCTAATTAACTGGAATTTTCTAAAGAATTTTCTCTCAACCACTATTAGGCTGCCCAAAATATAATTTCCATAGGAACAGAAGAATACTCTATTTTCTCCTTTATCAATTTTCAGAGTAAGATAGTGATGCCCTAATACTTTCTGATCATTATCATTATCAATGAGCCAATGAGCTTTATTTTCAATATTCTTCATAGTTTTTTTAAATTTTATTTTGACTTATTTATTGAGACAAGGTCTCATTATGTAGCTCTAGCTGGGCTTGAGCTCATCATGTAGCCCAGGCTGGCCTCAAACTTGCAGTGATTCTCCTGCCTCAGCCTCTGTATGCTACCATGCTGGCTTTTTAATCTTCTCATACGTGAAAAAAATAGCAACACAAATTGGAACACGACAACTTAACAGTTGTAGAAAAATAAGTTTTACTTTATAGACACCTTTCACAAAGAGGATAATTATTATTATTGGTGCTCTCTTTGAGTTAGTACTTGTTTCCTCTCTGTGGTAGCAGAGGAAGACATGAAGGCTCTTGTCCGTGGGCATCTCACACATCACAGAGCAAGAACTAGATGGTTAACTGGTTTGTCTCAAAGATAAGACAAGGTCCTCTAACTCCAAGGCAAACTGTACAAATGCCCCCCACCCCCGATAAAAAAGACAAAGTAGACTTACTTTAGAATCCTAGGTAATGGAAAACCTATTACCTACTTGTAGCAATAGTAAAACCAAAATATTTCTCTTTTGTTTGAAAGGGGATAAGAACTGTTTCATGACAGGTATGTTGAGTAAGCCTAATTCTGACATGGTCATAAGCAACTGGATTGAACTGTTAACAGTTCCTTGAGGGATTACTGCATGCTACTGCATGCATAGATTCTTAGCTTCCAAAACACATAAAGGAATTCTAGTTTTTCACAGAAAATGTTGACACATGAATAAAATCATGAGTAGAAAATAGCTTTTGCTCAATGTTTCACACTGTACTTTGCCTGATAGAGAAGTAAACGCAAAATAACTAACCTGGGTCCATTTATGGTTGTCACTTGTTATTGAGTGAACATCACAGATTAAAGTCTGGAAGACATAAAAATTTAAAAACCCATTAATGGATAATTCACACAAACATTTTGAAGTCTTTTAATAAATAAAAACTTCAGATAAATGACAACTTCCTAGTTAAACATTCCTACCTGCATGGTTGGACGTAAGAGAATGTGCCTGCTTTGGTAACCTGGCGATTTCATGTTACTGGACTGCCGGTAGTCACGTATTTCTGCTATGACACATCCACAATGGAAAATATTAACCTGTTTTGAATAAAAATATTCAAGTAAATGTCATCTGTCAAAAGCCTTTGAATTCTTTGCTTTTTACACTCTGCTGTAATATTTTGGCCACTTGCCTAAGTTTCAATAGATTTTTTTGGTGGAATATCACTATATAAACCTTTTCAAAGGGGTTATTTTATATTCATCATCATGAATGAAGCCATTTAAAATTGTTTAACAGTTTCTAGTTAGACAACTCTGGCCCCTACAAAGACAAAAGACTTACTTTGGCAATTATATACTAGTGATGTCACAATTCCTTGGGATCACTGCTTTTCGGAAGCTCAAAGGCTCACTGTTCACATTGCTACCTTTGTCACCGTTAAACTGCCAATCAATCCTGCCAGTTTCAAACTCTAGATAAAATTTCTATATTTGCTGTACTAAAACTAGAATAAAATCTTAACCCTTATCAATAAGGAAAGAAAAGCTAACTATAAACCAAAAATACTGCTTTTTATACCCAAATGTAAGTATCATTATCATCCAAGTTTTGTTAATTACAATTTGCTGTGATCACACAGACTGTGACGTTCCTCATCCATTCAAACTTTCAGAATGTGAGCTCTGTGTCATCTATCATCACTGTTTCCTCTTTTTACCAAGTGTCTGCTCTCTGTGTGAGTATGGTGCACCAACGACTGGCCCCCTGGAGCGCCACGCCCTTACTTTCTCCTTTCCCCCTGCCTCATCTGTGATACTCTTTCTTCTTCTTTTTACATTTTCTTTATCTGTTCATCTGCTTAGAGGCACCTAAGCTGTTTATAGCTTAGCAATTGTGAACAGAGCTGCAGTGCAAACCTTTTAGAGCCTTCAGCTGATACTACAGCCTGCTGTGGAACATATGCCATCCATCTGCCACACCTGTCTAGAATATACCACCTTTAATTAGAGGATACAGTAATGAGGGGATCAATGGTATCTCTACCTTAGTTTTTTGAGGAACCTCCCTACTGACAGCCACAGTGGCTACACTAGTTTAACCTTCTCCTTTCCCTGCAAATCCTCACCATCACTTGTTTCCTCTATTCTTGACAATAACCACTCTGATTAGATGAGACAGTATCTCAGTGCACGCTGAATTTTCATTTCTTTAATGGGTGAACATGCTGAAATTTTTAAAGGTGAGCAGGCGATTGCTGGGAGACTGAACATGGAATGCAAGTGCAGGGTCAACATCACATTAAAGAAACTGGTTGTGAAATTAGTTTGGAAAGGCTGGATATGCCACGGCAGTGCATGCCTCTAATTTCAACATGCAGGAGGCTGTGGCAGGAGGATTGCCATGCATTCGAGGCCAGCCTGGGCTACATACTGAGTTCAAGGCCAAGTGAACTACATGGTGAGACCCTGTCCCAAAATAAATTAAAAAAAAAAAAAAATGCTAGGGAGATAAAACAAAAGTTCTATGTTTTACAATGTTAAGAAACCTATTCTGCATATATATCCAAGTAAAGGCACAGGATTCGAGCTAGTGGAATGGTCATGGTAAGAGACAGGCAAAAGATTAACACTTTTTAAAACCAATGAAAACTGAATGAAACTACTCGGGGACAATTTACTAAAAAAGAGGGCCCAGCAGTGAACTCTGAAAGATGCACATTTTTATGGAAAGAACAGAGATGGCAACATAGAAAACTAAAGAAATAAAGGCGGAAAAAGAAAACCAGGAATGAGATATCTTGGAAGCCAAAACAAGGATATTTGCCTTAAACTTTGTTTAGTCAACTCAGATGAGCACAGAAAAGTGATGAATTGGCTCACTAGCAACTTTGACAAAAGCAGCTTCTACAGAATGGTGATGCTCTAATGGCAAATGAGGCGGCAAGAAGAAGCTTGGGTTATGATTAAAGGAGATGATAACTACAGACAATTTACGGAGTTTCACTTTACTGTCACGAGGTCCAGAATCATAAAGCAATAGCTGAAGGAAATGGGTCAAAGGAGAATTTTTTTTGAGTACAGAATGTTTACATTGTGTACCTAGTAGAAATGAAAATAAATAAGAAGAGGGCAGATTATAGTTTCAAGTCTTGCAGAAGAACAGGATCTGGAACACAAGTGGGGGGGATGATTCAGAAAAAGCATTCATTCATTTTAAGAGGAAGTCAAGGACAAATTGTGGAGAAAGATGCAGGGCAGCGATCAACTAGTGACAGGAGGAAATGGGAGTGCCTATCTGATGACTTTCTTTCTCCTCAAAAAGTACCCAACATGGCTGGAATGAATTCAAAGAAAAAAGAAGGAACAGGACAAGCAACTGACTATTCAAAGTGGCTGTAAACAGAAAGTGCAGGCCTACAGGCTGTTTTCTACCACTTTTTAAAAATTTCTTTCAAATTGGGGGCTGGAGGTTTAGCTCAGCGGCATAAGCACCTGCCTTGGAAGCAGGCAGTCGTGAGTTCGATCCCTGGTACCGATAAAAACGAAAAAGCCAAAAAAAAAAAAAAAAAATTTCTTTCACATTTCTTGATCATTACTACAAGGAGATTTCAATTGATCTGTCAGAATAATTTTTTAAAAAACATGTATTTCAGTATGGCAAGAAGGTTAAATATCTTATAATAATCCAATTTCTACAGTCTCATTTCATGCTCTAAGCACTGTTAGAAACACGTATTAAGGGGCTGGGGGTTTAGTTCAGCGGCATAAGCGCCTGCCTTCAAAGTAGGCAGTCGTGAGTTTGATCCTCAGTACCGATAAAAAGGAAAAAGACAAAAAAAAAAACAAAAAAAAAAAACAAAAAAACACATATTACAAGTGTAACACACATATAGAAATATATATGCATATATCATATACATAACAAATACAAAGGCATTTTAAAAATATATTTTTAAAAAACAGGTTAGCCAAGCTGGCCTTGAACGTTTGAACTCTAAGAGATTGTCCCACCTCAGCCTTCTGAGTAGCTGGGATTAAAGGGCTGAGCCACAGTGCCTAACAGAACATTTCTAAAGAAAAATTTTATACCTGAGATTTTTCTAGGAGATCAACCAAAATAGGAGGTAATTCTTCTGCATCTAGGTACTCAAGCAATTCCCCTTCTTCATAAGGCAGTCGAATGGTCTCAGAATCTTAATGTTAAAACATAAAATAAAGTTTATGAAAATTAGGCCCAAAACAAAGCTTAGGCGCAGAATTTATAACATTAAAAAAAAAAAAGAGCCAACAACCTCCCCTAGAATCCTTTTCTTAGCTTTACAAATGAATGATATTATGTTTACTTTTTAAAAAGACCTATTAACTGTGTAGTATTTTAGACCAGAAAATAAAAGCAACTGAATCTGGAAAACAGAACAATAATTTGGCAATTCATCCATAAAGTGGTCACTTTTAAAACAAAACTCTCCTGGTGCTACATTTTATAAGTGAGTAATATACAACACAAGTAAAAATTCTTCTCTAAGTAAGTTCCTTGTAGAACTTGTATTGTTATCATATGCAAATTTCTAGATACCTCTTTAGTGAAATCTAGGAATATTTGTATTTTAAAACTCTTCATTTACATTAATAGAACTTTTTTTGCGGGGATGGGGAGACAAGATCTCACCATATAGTCCAGGCTGATCTCAAACTTACAGGGATCCTCCTGCCTCAGCCTCCCAAGTGCTGGGAGGCTGCACCACCACACCCAGCTCCCAATAGAAATATTTCAATACATGAACATCACTCAAAGGCAGTGAATCTAAAGATTTCAGACTTTTCATAATGCAGCACAATTTAAAACATCTTACACTATCTAAAACACAAACAGTAACAGAACAAAAGTAAATTTTTACAACTGCTTAAAAACATATTTTATACAAGTTGACTCAGAGATGAAACAAGAACACTTCAAAACGTATGCTTAAGAAGAACAATCATTCCCATTAGAATAATGTTCTAGCAAAAATAGTACGAGAAAATCCTGCTTTCATTACTAAATTGTCACTGATGTGAAGGACAAACCATTAAGCAGGGTAAGAAAGTAATTTTAAAAAGCAGCAGAGCTATTTTGTGGCCATCACACTTGGGAGGGTCTTACCTGATCCATTTTTCCCCCTGAGCATCAGAGAATAGCCTTCATTTCCTGGGTAAAGATTGACCACTAAACATGACAAAGTCTCTTGCATAACAAGCTTCTCTAACAAGTTCACATTTCTTCTTAATTTCTGCTTTAAAAAGAGGAAGAGCTTGTGAAATTAATCCAGTATAACTTTGAAAAATAATGCTGTAACTTAACAAAATTAGATTTGAATCAATCTTTTGGTGTTTCTTCTGTCTTATTATCATGAATATATAGGGAAGATTCATAATACTATAGCCACTATAGATGAGAAAGCAATGTAGCTACTACATTTTAGGAGAATTAATTCATGTCAAAAAGAAAACTGGTAATCTACAAAATAAAATTACTTAAATATACAATATGTACTTGGAATATGCAAGTAATAAAAAAAATAATTAAAAGCCATTCAAAATAAATGTATTAAATATACTTTATGGTTAAGTCCAAATGAAGAATTTTGGACATTCTAAAAAAAAAAAAAAAAAACAACTGCACCTGGCTCCCTATTTTAAAGCTTATATATACAACAGCAATTCCTCTATATTTGCCTAAATGATAATGGTTTTTTAAAACTAAAGACAGATTTAAAAAAAAAAACACACAAAAGCCTTTAAGGCTCTTTCAACCTAGGGGTTCAAAAGATAACAAGAGGTCAATTTCTATTACTGCAGGCACCTTTATGCTAAATAAAATTAATTAAACTGGTCATAGGTTTATCACCAAATTCACTTTAAATTACTTACACTTGAATTTCCTATATCCTGTAACGGCTTTGACATTCCAGTACAAATCATCCTAATGAAACAGGTTACTTTTATCCTCAGTCTACATAGCACTTCTCAAGGGGAAGTAGCAGCCAAAGGTACTAACGTGGATCTGGGACATTTCACTCCTTGCAAACACTGCTCCCCATTCCTACTTTGCAGGCAACTCCGCCTGGTGCCTGAGATCAGCCTCACTGACTGGCTAGAAAAGATGTTAGTTTGTCTACAAAAATATGAACGAACTGCTTCAAATTTAACTCCTAAAGTTTTCCTTTTTCACTGCATATCAAAAGCCATAATACCATAAAAAATTTACACTTACCTTAACCTCAGGTTCTTTTTCACATTCCTCAATATATAAGTCATAAAGTTTTTGAAACACAGATTTTCTAGAAGAAAACGAATAAAGACAAGGTACAAAATTTTAATACAACAATCACCATGAAATAAATGTTGTTTTAATGATTTCTACACTTTCCCAAAAATTAGGGGTGGAGATGGCTATAGTGTCTAAAATTGATTCAGAAATTCCTAACATACATTGAGTATCCCTATCCAAAATTCTTGAGCCGGGCGTGGTGGCTCACACCTGTAATCCCAGCACTCGGGACACTGAGGCAGGAGGATCGTTGCGAGTTTGAGACCAGCCTGGTCTACAAAGTGAGCTCAAGGCCAGCCTGAACTGCATAGCGAGACTCTGTCTCAAAAAAAAAAAAATTCTTGAGACCAGAAGTTATTTTAGATTTCTTCGGATTGTGGAATATATACATATACCTAATAGCTATCCTGTGGATGGGACGCTAAGTGAGACGTGAAAATTATACACTTCTACAAATAGGCTAAGGGTAATTTTATACAATATTTTTAGCATGACTGTATTTTGACTATGAACCATCACAGGAAGCCAGATGTAAAATTTTCCACTGCCACCATGTCCAAGCTTAAAAAGTTGCAGATTTTGGAATAATTTGGATTTCCAGATTAGGGATGCTCAATTTGCACATGCAAAAAACCTAAGACATTTCCAGCCCAGTGTCTAGGAAAACAGTATTTATTGTTCAATTAATATGTATTAATTGTCACATTTCAACAACCCTAAGGTATTATCAAATAAGTATTCATACCTTCCACTTGACAGGTATTTCCTTTTAGGTGGTCTCTGCCGAGCACTTTCAATGACATACTACAAAAAGGAAGTTTATGAAAATGGCTTGCCTTCTGCTTTGTACATAAACATCTTAATTAAATACTGTATATCTAAAACATGTGAGGCTAGAAAAGGCTATTTAATCACTAAAGTCTTTACTTACGTTAATTTATACCCTGTAGGAAAAAAATTATTCTAATTATGTTACAAATGAGTGAAATTTAAACTGTATTCTGGCACGGTATTGCTATGAACTATAATTTAAAAAGGTTGGAAACATTCTTAATGTTTTATGGCTGTCAGAATATGCTTGATGTATTAAAAATTGTCTAATTGCAAGGGCTACTTTATAAAACTTGTCTAAACAGAAAAAAATAATTTAAATAACTTTTATTTCAAGTAACAATGAACCATCTATCACCTGGTATATCTCTAGTTACAGAAAATTATTTCTAGTCTTGTCCTAAAATAACAGTAATACACTCTCTTCAAGATTCAATTATCTCTTAAAACTGAGTCTTTGTCAATTATAGATGATACTAATTTCAGTATGTAACTTAGTTAGGGCTCACCTCTGCACGGTCCAAAGCTAGTTCTAAAGCTTGTTGCTGTAAAAAGTAAACAATGTGTTTGGTAATATTAGTCATTTTCACACAAAAAATTTAAGAAACATTTCACATTTCTAATTAAGTGCTTCAAAATTTCATTTTCTAGAAAAAAAACAAATATAGTCTCTTTTATTTCTCTCTTCAACCTATCATATGATCGAAGTATATAAAAAGAAAAAGCATGGTAGTGTTAGGAACTTTATTGTGACAACAAGCAGACAAGAAATGCTGCAAGGTCAGCAGCTGTGAGGCCGATACAGGAAGCTGTAGATACAGCGGTCCCCACTACACTTCACTAATTTTAACTTTTCAGCACTCCAAAACTACCATTTAAGAAAAGATACTGGCCATAACTCATGTAATGAAAGTGAAGTCAAGTCTTACTTGACCTCTTAATGTTCTAAGAATCCTGAAAACTGAGACTAGGCTTGTGTAGGTATCTAATACCACTTACAAATTCCTAATAAATTAATGCAGAACCCCATGACATAACATTGCTAGCTCAGTGCCTAACGAAATGCAGTAAATGATAGCTAGCACTGCCACATTTAAATGAGTTCAAGATGCCCTTAATTATAAGCATGCATCATTATTTTAGGTAACATTAAGGAAAAGCTCCAATTATAGTTCAAAGAAGTCACTGATTATAGACTCACTATCAATTAAGTAATCTTAAAATATTAAAAAAGGGTTCTTACATTTGCTAAACTGCAGTATAATTACTAAATGCAAGGTCTGGAATCTATTGGTAGATACCCACCCTTCACACATTTCTTAGAGAACCCAATTTTCAGGTAAGAGGGAGAAATAAAGTAAGCTATGTTTTCCTCATCTACGAAGCTTTTTCTAAAGACACAAATAAAAACCATTTCATTCTGAAGTTAACAAATATACCACTTCCTCTTTATAGTGTTTTGCTCTGGATGCCATGCAGAGTTAAGCAGTATTCTTCATTCACAGTACAGTTGTTTTAAATTCCCTTCAGAGGCACAGAACTCCAATTTTCATTTACATTATTTTGCAGATTCCAGTAACAAGCTACTATGTTTTGTACATGATACAAAAACTCCTGGCAGGGGCTGGGGATTTAGCTCAACGGCATAAGCGCCTGCTTTGCAAGCGTGTGGTTATGAGTTCGATCCCTGGTACTGGTAAAAAAAAAAAAAAAAACAACTCCTGGCACTCATCAACACCCCAGAAGATAGGGGAAGAACAAATACTGCAACCTTTGGAACTCATGGGAAATTTTAAGTGACCCTGCACACTAATCCTAAGGATGGGAAACTCTGATGTTTATAAAAATAACAGGCCTTTTTAAAGACTGCAATGGAAACCAAACCATATTATCAAACATCTAAATGTAATAAGAGATGAAAGTCTCAAATCTACCAAATTCTGAAAAGGTCCAGTTAAGATAAAAGTATCAACTTATTTTATTGAGAAAGCTTATAAAGAACAATGAAATTGTTTCCCAGGAGTCAAGACAAGAAGAGTCTTGAATATAATCCATTTTTCAGCAAGAAAATATAACTCTGGATATATACTCCAAAGATACGTAAAGTTCTTTTAAATTATGCTCATGAAATTAATCTCAAAAATTATAATAAACACAATCAAATATATATGCTAGGACCATTTTAAATTGCCAGGTCATCTCAAGTATTTCTTCTGAAATCTAAACTTAAAAAGGTTTTTTTAGCAAGATACACTTGCATTCTTCATCCACTACTGCCTTCAAAAATCTTAAGAGAGATATCATTAACAGAAACAGATGCAAGAATAACATGAAATCAGAATCCCACTGTGACAGTTCCACTTTTCTCTAATAGGACAAGGCTAGATAAGTAAGATCACAAGAGGACAAGGGAGATAAATATTTTCTAAGGTTTGTGCTGCAGAACAGAGGTTTGTAATGAATTATTCTGCATGACAGTGTTCATTTATTTTCTCACTGTCAAATATTTCTTTTATAAGACATTAGTAGTTTTTCTCAATTTAGATTTAATATTTTAAATGCAAAAGTGTCTAGTCATAAACATATTCAATGTAGGTCAGTAACTAAAAACAAAACATCAAAAGGCTAGCACTAACATGACTTAAAGTTAGGTGCAGCCAGGCGTGATGGCGTACTTGGAAGGTTGAGGCAGGAGGACTGCCATGAATCTGTGGTTTCACAGGTAGCCTGAAATACATGAGACCCTGCCTCAACCAAAGGGAAAAAAATTAGGTGCAGAAAGCAAGTTACATTTATTCTCAAAATTTTAAAAAAGCTTAAGAGGAACTTACAACCTATAACCTCCCAAATTATTTGTATTTATACCCACCATCCTTGCAATTTGGAATATGGCAAAGTAGGTAAAAATATACATTGAGTATTCTTGTAACTTGGATGTGGTAATCACAACACTGAACTAAGAGATGGGCTACGTATTTCATAGATAAGATTTCGCATGGCTGCTAAGCAATTTCCTCTTTAGGATAACTTGTGCAGCTTACAACAGAATTTTCATATCTATAATACAAATACTTTTATGGAGATGAAAGAAGAGAACATGCTAAAATATAAATCTGAACAAACTGAACAGTAGCTTACCATTGTGACATAAAATTGGGCGCCAAAGGAAAATTTTACGTGCGTTGATGAAGTGGGATGAAAACTTTTAACATCAATCTTATCTACTGTAAAAATAAAAACAACAAAATCGCCACCTTAACATAAGGCTCAAAAAAAAAAAAAAAAAAACAAACAAGCGTTTGTAATTAACAGAAAAAATTACCTGAGGCATGTATATTTCAAACACATTGAAAAATACTTTGCAACAATAAAATTCACGTATTACAACCTATCTACCCACTGCTGAAAAGTAGCTTTTAATTCAGTAGGGCAAAAGGGTTTCTCACTTTTTTCACGAGTTTAACGCCCTAGTGGAAAAAAAGAAAACAATGACTTTTGATTCTCTCTCCTCACTCCTGCACTATTACTTTCCTTGTGGATTATTCCAATAAGTAGCCTGCCCACTCGTTCACTTTGCAAATCAGACTTCATGCCTGCTGATTAAAATTCTGTAATGATACTCTCCCCCAAAGGCCTTAAACTACATTTTCTAGATGCAGTTTCAATCCTGCCAGCCTTTCTTAAGAAAACTATATACAATTCTGAAGACTTCCTTACTCTAGGGGTTCCCATTCTAGCTGCAACACCAATTAACCCCGGACACTTCAAACAATGGGATGCCCATGCTCCACCCCTCAAGGATTGTGAAGCGCTAGCCGGGAGTGGTGTCCAGGGATCAGCCTTTTTTGGAGCGCTCCAGGTGATTTAAGGCTATGTCAGTGTTGACGCCCATTGCTGTAAACTTTCTGCACACCACAGAGATGGTAAAGAATGTTTGGTAGGGGAGAGAGGATAAATGAAGCTCATTTCCAGTCTACTTTGTCACTGAGATCCTCATAACCACAGCTGCAAGCCTACATAACTGAGCTAAAGCACTTCAGCTGACAGAAAACGAGATTTCCCATATTAAAACGTTTTGTTTTTTGGTGAACCCCAAAGTTTCAATTTTTGCTAGCTGAGGTAAAAGAAAAATTAGAACTTTCAATAACAAAAACCATATACCATGGGATAAAACACCACCGGCACTGTCTAGTTTTCAGGAATAATCATTTTACAAAAGGAATGATTAATTTTATCTTCTAATTGCTTATAGGTTTAAGCTGAATTTACGTTGAAATTTTTCTGACCACTAAATCTAAACATAAAGATACACTGCCTGCTTAAAAGCAAAATATGACTTTAAAAACCAAGATGTTATGAAATTTGAAAGAGGTTGGAACTTTAAATTATTTAAATACTGTTATTATTATTTAAATTATTTAAATACTTAATTAATACCACAAAAGCCAATAAATAATTTTGTGTATCTCTTTGTATCTCGAGTTCTAAGGCCTTCAAAGGCTCGCAAGGAGCAAGACGCAGCCCCAGCGAGCTGGTGACAACAGGAGATGCTTCCAGTGGCAGCTATTGTCCAGATTCAGTTCTGCACGCCTGATTTTAAATGTCTCTTATAAATGTCCGCCTTCCCTGCTCAAGTTGATCTTTTCCAACTACAGAGCTCTTTTAATAACTTAGCTTTTACCTGCAAAACGCCGTCAAACTCTACAGGGGATACACCGACACCTAGAAACACACCCCCGAAGAATTTTCGCGCAAATTTTGCGAGTTTCCGGTAATACCACCAGAAATCTTTAAGATTGCACTAGAATTAAAAGAGGTGAATTAGCAGCACCGGGTAAAGCAACAGAGGGGTCCGCCTGGGTGGCTGGCGGGCCCCCGCCCAGAGCGCCGCGTCTCGGGGGACGGCGTCCTCTCGCGAGAACGGGGAAGGCGCTCGGGAAGCGGCTCTCTCACCTCTGACCCGGGCTGGATCTCGCGAGCTTAGTTCACCGGCCTGTCCGGCGCGACCTCGCCCCACGGCCGGCCGCCGCTGCCCCGGGATCACAATGTGATGCGTACTAGGCCGCGAGGCCCATCCTGCCCCTTAGCCGCGCGTCGTACCCGCCTGGCCGACCGCCAGCTCAGTCTGCTGCCGCACCCCGCACACTCAACTGACTGGTTTGGCGGAGTTGGAGACGGCGGCGGAAGGGGCGGAGCCTGGGCGGAGACCGGATGGGCGGGCATGGGTGGTGCATTGCGGAAAAAGTTCCCTGGAGGGCTCGGGATCGTCAGTTCCCGAGTGAGGGTAGACTGCTGTCCTCCCTCCACCCAGTCCTAGCGTTGGCTGTAAGAGGATGAATACTGTAGTGGTTTGCCAGTTGAGTTTCTAGGGCTGTTGCAGTAAGCTACATTCCAGCGCCTTCCACGCCCTCCCACCCGCGCTTAAATTTTGACCCTGTCTTGCTAGGTTGCTCAGGCTAGGCTCGAACTTGTGATCCTTCCTGTTTTGGCCTCCTCAAGTGTTGTATTTCAGACCTGTGCCTCTACAGCTGACCTTCTCAAGGCTTTGTTTTGCATTACTTTGCTAATCGCATTCCCAAAGGATGCGAAGTGATATTTCAGTGTGGATTTGACCTGTATTCCCTAGCGGCCAGGGAAATATTGTCTTGTTTTTATTGAACCTGTTCTTCACAAAATTCTCTGTTCAAGTTTTTTGTTTTAAAATCGAGCTCTGTCAGTATGTGTAGTTATAATTTTGGATACTCAGCACTTCCTTATCAGGTATATCATTTACAGATACTTTCTCCCGTTTTGTTTGGTTTTATTTGCTCCATGGTAGTTGAATGCGGGGCCTTTGCACTGTTTTCATCTTCGTTTCCTTTTAAAAATTTTAATTTCAAGACAGGATCTCCGTAAGTTGCTAGATTGCCAAGGCTGAGCTTGAACTTGAGATCCTCCTGCATCAGGCTCCCAGTTAGCTAGGAATGACCATGTGAGCACACACCAAGAAGGAGACCATCTTTTAGCCAGTGAGCTTGGCCTCAAGAGAAACCAGCTGTGGGTGCCTTGACCTTGAATGTCCAGCCTACGGACTTAGGAGAAAGTTAGTTACTGCTGTTTTTTTCCCAACCCATCAGTGGTATTTTATTATTGCAGCCCAAGCAGAATATTAAATAATGTTAGGTGGAATTGTGGTCTTGCAGTTGTAAGACCTTAGTTGTAGTAACAGACCTTGTATGTTAGGAATACAAGATATATCATTTGTGAGGCAAAACCTAAGAATTTGGGAATCTGAATTTAACATACTTAAAAAGTCAAGAGATGGTGATGAAGATAATAAATTATTTGTAATCATTTAAACTGGACTAAGGTATTAGGGATTTATTAGATCTCTTTTGTGCATGTTTAAAATGTTTGTAATACTGTATTCAATTAAACATACCCCCATGCTTGCTTACACATACGTGTGGTATGCTGGCATGTTGTAGAACTTGCCTCCAGTTTCTGGCTTGGACTCCCACTGTTACACGCCTGGCTGCTGCCCATGTGCTGAGGGCTCTCAGGTCGGTAGACTGGCCATTTCTGGGAACTTGACTTACGGATTTGATGTCTTAAAGGCCTTCTAAATGTAGTGTTCAAATGAATTTATCTTTTTGCTCAGATTTTCTATGTTTTCCCTACCAGTGAGTATGAGCTTCCCATCAATAAGAATCTAGTTGAGGAGTCTCCTTTCTCAGCCTCAAATCCAACAGGCTTCACAGTCCTGCAGTTCTTACTGGAAAGGTGAAACATTCAAGGGATGTCTGTCAGAACAAATTTAAGTGCTTTTTAAGGGGATGGGGGTACCAAGGATTGAACTCATGACCTTGTGCTTGCCTGGCAGGTGCTTGTGTCGCTGAGCTAAACCCCCAGCCAGTCTTCAAATTCTATTTCTAGTTCCTGTCAGGTGTGGCCTCTTTGTCAGGTCATTCCCACAGCTCTCGTTCTGGTTTCTGTATGAGGTGGTCTATGGGGATGGCCATAGTTTCCTCCAAACTGCACTTCCTGCCTCAGAGTCCCCTACTGTGTCTTACTCAGATTGTTGCTAGTTATCTTTTTTTGTTCATTTTTTAAAAAGCTGGAGAAACACATTAGCATAATAAACAGTGCAAAGATACATAATCACAAAAAAGTGACACTATCTTTATAGCATAGCACAGATCTAAAAGGAACCAAATTTCTGTCAAAAGGTAATTTGAACAAGTCACAGAAGGGCGACTATGTAATGGAATAATTTCTGTAAGGAGATCTCTAGCATATTGTTATGTGTGTGCGTAGGGAAAGCCCTACATCTGTACTGAGCCCTGGTTCATTTTGATGGGAAAATTGACCATGATTTGGGCTTATGGCTACCAAATGGGGTCATTCTAAGAATTTCAGTAGACAGAGCTAAAAAGTAAATGTAAATAGAAGTTTAAATAAAAATACAGATATATGTTAACCAGTATGGCTTGCATTCAATGTCCCCCAAAGCCTCATGTGATTGTAAGTGGGAGTTTTGAAGGTGGATTAGGTATGTGAATGCGGATTAAGGGTGTGATGCTGGAATAAGGGGTGGATAATGGAAGCCACACCTGGGTGTGGATTGCGTCAGTCAGCAGGCTCACAGCCTGGGGGGAATATAGAGGGAGAGAGGGAAGGCAGGTCTGTGCTGACTCTGGTGGTGCCGCCTGTTGCCTTCTGCTAGCCATGCCATGCACTGTTTCTCCTCTGCTATGCCCTCTGCCAAGCCACCTGGCCTTGGAGCCAGCTGACTATGAACTAAAACCTCTACAAACTGTGAACTGAAATAAATCTTACTTCCTTCAACTTTCGGTGTCATGTATGTTGTCTCAGCAATGAGAAAAGTAACTTGACACTACATAAATCCTTATATGGACAATCCAGTTCATCTTCAGTACTTTACAGTTTTAACACCTTGGTCTTAACATCTACCTATATGACCTTTCTTCCATATTAAAAAAAGTGGGTCTTGCTTGATACATTTCTATAATCCCAGTACTTGGGAGGCTGAGGCAGGAGGATCACCGTGAGTTTGAGGTCACAGTGAGCTCAACAGCAGCTTGTACTACAATGTGAGATCCTGTCTCAAAAACAACAGAATAAAACAAAAATACAGGTTTACAGTGTACCAACATGATGTGTTGCCTTATTCTGTGTGACATCTACACGGTTCCGAGAATACTACCAATTCTACACCCAATGATACTGCTGAAACAACCCTACCAAAAGCATTCTTTCTGGTTGATTATGTGTACTACATGGTACAGAGATATATTTGGTTTTGCTTTTGTTTTCAGGAATTAAATACTTTTGTAAGTGTAATAATTATATGGTTACAATTAAAATCTGTAAAACAAAGTTAAACTCAAGAAAACCAGCTTCTGTTCCACTTCTCTCACACTATTCTTCCCTCCCTCTATAGGAAATCACTTTATTCTAGTTTTTATTGTATTCCATAATATTTATTATATAACAGATACCTAGATAAAGATGAATATCTATATCCCCTGTTTCCAATACTAATAAAAACAGTAAACAGGGACAGAATGATGCTTCTCCCATTGTCAGGAATGTGCTGTGTTCCAGTGCATTCATTTAGTTCCTGAGTTATAGCTTGATGTTTGGCTGGGGATGTAGCTCAGTGATAGGGCCCTTGCCTAGTATTCGTGCAAAATTCTAATTCCCATCACTACAAAAAAAGAAAAGTTGTTCAGGCTGGTGAATGAGAGACCCTTGTTCTCTTTTTTCCTACTTTTATGTATGTTTGAAATTGTTTGGAAATTTTCATAATAAATCTATGTTATGGTTGCACTTCAGAGAACTTCCTTCCTCAGCGATAAATGCTGTTAAGCAATATGTGTGTAGAACTTCCCATTCATTGTCTTTGAATATACAAAACTTTGCATATTTATGCATATACTATATCTTTCTGCTTTTGATACAAATTAAAAGTGGGAAAAGAAGCTTTCCCACTGTTGTATACTGTTTTCTTCCTTGACAAAATGCCTTAGTTTGGATTTGTTTGGATAATTGTGGTTCTCAATTTGACTGGATTACAGATACCTGGAACATTGGTGTAACACATTTCTTGGGATATGCACGAGAGTATTTCAAGGACCGTTGACCTGTGGGTCAGTAAACTGAGGGGTGAGACCAGCTCTTACAGTGTGAGGCGGAACCCAAGAGCCTGAGAGCCTGAATGAACAAATGATGCTCACACATGCATACAACTTAACTCTTCTTCAGTGGTTGCAATTTTTGTTGCTGAGATTGTCAAGGACATGAGATTCTGGATTCCTTAGCTTTTCACTACAGATTTATACCATTCTCTCCAGGAAGCTTCTAGGTCTTTGACTGGAGCTGCATCACTGATCCCTCTTGCTGTGAGGCTTCCAGCTTTTTAGCCTGGGCAGCAGCTCCTGGTTCCCCAACTCTAGTCAGCAGATGACCACTGTGGGACTATCTAGTCTGCCTATGTAGGATAACCTAATAAATCCTCTCTTATAGACGCATTCTACTGGTTCTGTTCCTGTAGAGAACTCTGACAAAGCTCCACACATTAAAGCCTTTTCCCCAGCCCCTGTGTTTATTAAGAGGAGGGTTCTAGTGAAAGGAAGCTAGGTCATTAGTGTGGGAGACAACTCCAGTGACTCCCTTTAAATCCCAAACAATTACTGTGACTTTGATTACTTGGAGACTCATTTCTTTATACTAATATGTAAAAGGATGCCTAGGGTATTTCCTTCTCTCTTCAATTGGCTCTGAGCATTACAAATAAGGCTAGCCGAGGTGATAATGTGTAAAGTCTATAGCCATCAGACAGTCCAGTTTCCTGGAATAGTGTTCTCCACAATCCAGGATTGAGTACAGAAGATGTTAGAGCAAACAGCTCTGG